TATTATTTCATTTATATGAACTTTCCAGAAAAGGCAAACCTATAGGAATGGAAAACTGCTCCGTGGTTGCCGGGGACTGGGGTCAGGGAAGGGGTTGGCTCCAAGGGAACATGAGGGAATTTCTTGGCATGACGGCCAAGAAATGTTTGATATCTTGATTTTGGCGGTGGCTATATTGCTTGCACATTTGTCAAAGTTCATCAAAAGGCACATTAAAAGGTGGATTTTATTGTAGGTAAATTATACCTTCCTAAACCTGATTTAAATATAGACACAGTGAGTTGGAGAGGGCAAAAAATAGGATGGTCAGGATTGCCTCGTTGTGAAAGTGACATTTAGGAAAAGATTTGAAAAGGAAGGAGGGAGCCAGACCACTCTTTGGAAAGGTGAGGGGGGTGCGGGGTGGGGGGTGGGGTGGGGACAGTGAGGGAGGAGCCCTAAGGCCAGGCATGCTCTGCTGGGCAGGAACCAGCAGGGAGCCGTGTGGCTGAGCTGGAGGGAGACACAGGGTGTAGGTGGGCACGGACAGGCTCTGGGGGCCAGGGAGGATTGTGGCGGCCTCTGAGGACTCAGGCTGCTCTCTGAGTGCAGGGTGCAGGGTGGACCACTGGGGTCTGAGTGGAGCAGTGGCAGGATTTGACTTCCCTGTTGATATACACCAGTCCCCGCCCCACCCCCGCCCCCCAGCTGTGTTGAGAACAGTCAGTCTGGGAAAAGGACCAGTTGGGAGTGCTTTGCAAGAATCTAGGCAAGAGAGGATGGTGGCTCAGACCAGTAAGGGGGGTGCTGCGGGTGGTTAGACTTGAGATCTATTTCGAAGGCAGAGCCAATAGGATTTCCTGCTGGATTAGAGGGTGGGGGTGAGAGCGAGAGGAGGTAGTGGTGACGCCAAGGTTTTTGGACTGAGCAGCTGGAAATCCAGCTGGGCACCCCCATGGGGGCTGTTGATTGGTTTTAACTCTCCCCTGGGGCTGGGGCCAAAGTCAAGACAGAGACAGAAGCTTGGGTTCAGGCCTGCTGCTGGCTCTGGGGCTCAGGGGATGGGCTGCACATACTGGTTATTCCATTACCCTTTATTTATTGGCCTTATTGGCTCTTGTCATTTCCTCGTTGTCTCCTGTCTGGAGAGAAGACTATAAATGTGATGGATTGATACAGGATACAGGAGGCCCAATTATCTCCGTGAAGCCAGCCTATCTTCTTGGCCAAGCCCTCCTCGCCCTCCACAGTCCTCGCAGCTTCTCCCACAGCCTTGCGAGTGAAGCAGCCTGGACCCTGGCCCTCCAGGAAGAGGGGGTGCAGCCTGAGAGGGTGAGTGACAGGCAGAAGGTCCACCAGAAGCCATGATGCCAAGGACAAATCCTAGAGGCAAGCTCAGTCCCTTGGCCAGTTGCACCTAAAATCCCGGCACCCGCTCCTGAGGCTCTGCCCACAGAGCCCGGGCCTGGAGCAGGGCTGGAGGACAGGACATGCCTGTCGGTCAGCCCATATCCGGGAGGGGGCTCTGCTTTGACTTGCACCGTGTCTTTCTGGAATCTGAGCCGGTCTGTCTCTTCGCAAAGGCTGGGATGATGGGACTTTTCTCTCCGGCAGCTGGTGCCTGGCAGCTGCCTGGGGATGCCAGCCCCATGAGCTGGCATTGGAGGAAGTGCTTGTCAGAGTGGGCTCCGGCTGGCCAGGCCCTCACTCCTGCCGCTTAGGTCAATTTGGCATGCTCAAAAGAGAATAGTGCGCCCAGGAGTCCCCCGGGGTGCCTTTAGGACCCCCAGATAGAGCTTGGCAGCCTTTGGGCATTATTTCTCAGTGAAGTCTCTTGGCCACCCCTTATGACTCTCCTCCAGCCTGTCCCCTGACCTCTGACCCTGGGAATGTCCAGAGGGGGACCAGGACAGGAGGCCTGAGGCTCATTCCTGAAATTTCAGGCGTCTTTCTGTGGGTACCCTTCACCTCCCCCCTTCCCGCCCCGCTCCCCAATGGGGCTATTCAGGAATATTCGGGAAGACTGTCCTTGAATGTGTATGTATCTCCCACCTAACTGAGGACCTCAGATGGCCTATGTCTGACCTCCTTCTAGAAGAACCCAGAGTGGAGGGTGGGACTGCTGTTGAGAAGAGGGCAGGGGACAGGACAGGAAGGGGCCAACTGGAGGAGAGAGCCAGGTGAGTTCATGGGTCAGGTAACTGCTTGACGGGTTGGGTGATTTCTTCTGCAAACGTTCCGGCTCCAATCTGTGCCAAACACGGGGGCGGGGACTGGAAAGCATGGAATGAATGGGCAGCCTGGCCTTACCCAGTGCTCAGACTCGGTGCCAGCCACAGAGGAACAGGCCGCTGGAGGCCTGGAGGGAGTGGAGGCACCGTGCCAGCAAGGACGACTCCAGAGGCACCTCGGGGGCAGGAGACACCAGTCCTGCGGCTTCCCCAGCCCATCAGCAGTTGCCTGTGGCGTCTCCTTTCTCCGGTTGCTGCTCTGTCTCCCCTGCCCCCACCCCAGTCTCGTGGCTGTCAGGGCTGGCGGGAGGAGCTGCTGGCACGGGGTGGAGGAGCTACCAGTGCCGTGGCCCCAGGGTGAGAGCTGACGTCTGTCCAGGAGCATCTCTCTCCCTGCCAAGGGTTGAGCTCCCTGGGCCGCATGCCTTCCCCCTGACACAGAAGCGGCATCCGTCCCTCACTGAGCCGCCCACTGCCTGCACCCCCACTTTGTACCCGGCGACAGCTGCACATTGCAGTGGGCACAGGATTCCCTTAGAGGAGGCTGCTGCATGCCAGGCCAGACAAAGGCCCACCTCAGGCCCCGCAGAGAGGTCCAAGTACCCCAAACTCCAAGCTTTGGCCTCAAGAATGATGGGGAATCCACTGTGCTGGCCCAGGTCATGGAGGTGTCCCCGAGCTTGTGAGAGAGGCCTGACCCCTCCATGGCCTCATGGTGGGAGTCAGAGTCTCCCCTTCTCCCCACACACATTGCACAGATAATTACCGAGTTAGTCACGTGCTGGTACAGAGCTGCTGAGCGGACTCAGTCAGACAGGGGCCCTGGCCTCACAGAGCTTTCAAACTCTTCACTGGAGTTTCCAGGAAAATATATTTTCCACCACTGCCTGGGGGGCACACAGTCACTCACCCATGTTTTCTGTGTATCTGAAACAGCACTTTTACTCGTCCTTCCACACAGGAGACACTGCTATTGTAGGTCCTGATATTTTTAAAAAAGCTGCCGGTGGCCCTCTGCCTTGGGCATGGCCTGCCTTTAGAAAGCCCTGACCTGGCTGGGGAAAGATGATTAACGCCCTGGCTCAGGGTAGAATGAACTGCGTCTTGCCTGGTTTTGACCAAAGGACCAACACCAAGGGTTTGGGACACCAAATCATGTGTCTCTCATGTACAGATTCATGGGGCTGGACACTCTCTGGAGAAGCCTACCTGTATTTACAACAGAAAGGATACTCTTCTTTCACCCAAGGTTGAGCAAAAAGCCATAGTTTTGGCCTGGTTTTCATCCAGGGCCAGGGAAGATTCCTTCCACTGAACAGAGTTGAAAGGGGCCAGGAGAGACAAGAGCAAAAGCTGGGTTTGATGACGTCAGAATGGTGTTGTTTCCGCACTGTGGGTTGAGTGCTTTGACAAGGAAGTACCAAGAGTTGGGGAGGTGGTGGGGAAAGGGGTGGGTGGTCAGGGAGGCTCCTGGAGGAGGCGCCAATAAGATGAGGCCTGAAGGCTGAGTGGAAAGGAAAGTAGTATTTTGAGTGGAAGGAAGAGCAGTTGGCAAGGCTGAGAGGAGGCAGAGCCTGGGGTCTTTAATGGGTTGTGTAGAGAAGCAGCTACAGAGGCTGGCAGAGCGGGAGGTCCTGGGAATGGTTTGCTTTGATCCTGAGGATCCAGGAAGCCACTGCAAAGCTTTACAAGGAGGCAACAGTCTTGGATGTTACTATCACTCTGGTTGCCCAGAGGAGGAGTTTGGAATGTGTGAGGTTGGGGGAGGGGAAGCCAGCGAGGAGCCACCCTGGTGTCTCCCCAGGCAGGATGCTGGACAAACCCAGGGAGTGGCAGTGGGAGGCACCAAATAGAGGGCTTGAGAGCTGCCGAGAAGGTAGCACCCACAGGGTGTGGACTGGGTGAGCGGGTGAGGGACGATGGCTTCTGTTGGGGTGCCTCCGCTGACGGGCTGGCTTGGGGGTGAGAGAGGTGAGTTTGGTGTTGGCGGGGTTGGATGTGGAAACTTGGAGACACCCCAAGTAGGCAGCCGGATATGCCTGGCCTGGGATCTGTGGGGAGCCCTGGGTAGCAGATGAAGACTTAAGAGATTCTTCCTTAAAGCTGGGCAGGGCTTGAGGGTGTTTTCCCTTATCTCTAGCTGTGAAAAGGCCCAAGGTCTAAAGAACTTGAATATTTAATCCAACATTGGAGGACACACCCCTAAGAGAGGCTGAACTGGTGCAATCCTAGAGAGTGGAGGAGGCCCTGCAGGGGCCGAGAGGACTTCCAGAAGGGACAGTTAAATGCCAAGAAGGGACCATGCAAGACGAGGACAGAGGGGGCTCCACCAGATCCAGCCGCTAGGAGGCCCCTGCTGCCTGGCAGAGCGCTGAGTTGGGGGTGGGAGGTAGGGCAGCAGTGCGGTGCAGTGGGCTGAGGGGTGAGGGTGAGGAAGTCGGTGTCAGGTGTCAGATCCAAGCCTGACACGAAGGTGTGACCATCTGCCTGTGCTCCACGGCAGCTGCCCCTCCTTGCCCCAACCTTTCCGAATCCTTCCCATCTGTGAGCCCCAAATTATGGTCCTCCCCAACCAGTGCCCCAGCTTGGGAGTCCTTGGAAGGTTGGACCTGGGCATTCTCCTGTGGGGGCAGTCTGCTCTGCCCACACCCCACTTTTCCTGGAGTGGCCCGTCATTTTCCTGGGAAGACAACTCGGGTCTTCTCTCCCTCCCACCCTTCTAGTTTGCACAGCACAAGGGCCTCCTGGGCCTCTGTCACTGCCCTTGTCAGATCAACAACAGAGCCCGGACCAAGTCATGTAAGCCATTTATTGGTTTGTTTTAAAAATATGCATCTTATTTATACATGAAGTTTGGTGAGAAGTGCTCAATTAGTTCAGACAACACCTGGCACTTGATGCTTGTCCCTCCCTCCTTTTTCCTACCCTCTTCTTCCCTCCTGCTGGTCATTGTGCAGTTCTGGGGGCGGGGGTGGGGGTGGGGAAGAGCCACGCTAAAAGCTAAGGCATTGGGTCCAGCTTTCGCTGCCCTCAGCCACACCGTCTGCAGCTGAATCTGTCAGCGGGCACCTGTCTCAAGGCTCCTGGGCTGTCCAACACGAAACCACAGTCTCCTTCCGGCCAGCTGGGCTGGTAGCCCGGCCCGCCTCCCTGACCACATTCTTGCCCATGCGGCGGGTGCTGAGTGCCAGGGAGGGGCATCACCTCTCCAAGCCTTGAAAGCAAAGCACAGAGATCTACAAAAATAAGATTTCCACTCCAAGCGTCACTGGGACAGTTTAAAGCACGTCGTCCCACACAGGACTCAAAGGGACCACAGGAGAAGAGAAATCACTGGGGGTGGGGTAAGGTTGGAGGCTGGGGTTGCCACCCAGGGAGCTCGGGGTGACGAGAAGAAACGTAATACTTTACTCGCCAGCAATGCCCCTCAGCACTGCAGCAAGCTCAGGAACATCCAGCCCTCCGACAGCTCGGCGAGGTAGGTGAGGAGCAGCCAGTTTCCGGCTTCCCGGGAGGCCCGAGAGGTGGGTGGCCTGCGATGTGGACGCCTGGCGGAGAGCTGGAGTGGGGCAGCTGAGCCCCTGCCTGCTCAGGCTCCGCCAGCCAACACTGTCCCTCTCGGGTGACAGTTCTCTATGTTAAAAGATTTGCATATGCGAGAAAGGATTGTCAGCAGCTGAAGAGGCCCTGGGGTAACTGAACTAGAAAAAAGTATTTTTCCCTGAAAAGGCCCCCTCACAAGACCTGTTTACAGCCTGGACCCTACCCGGGAGGTCCCATGTGGGGGGGCCACCAGGAACCTGGGCTGAGCCGGAGCCCTCACTGCCCTCTTCTCCCGAAGTTCATTTCCCGCATGGTGGCCAAGACTGAGGCCGAGGCTGGGGTGTGACCATCCAAGGCCCACGCTGTGCTCCCACTCCCGTGCTGCTGCACCTGGAGAGGAGCTGCGGCTCTCTGGGCACCCCCTGCCCACCCTGCCACATAGTCAGAGGCAGAAATGTTCAGAAAGAGGGCCCTGGAGATGACAGCAGGCTCCCATCTTTAGAAGGGCCGAGGAGCCACTGCAGCTGGGCGCTGTTGAGCCGTTTCTCCCGGCTCCACAGGCCTCAACTTTCTCTTCCCAGCCTGTGGGGCAGGGCATGCCAGGTTCCTGGAGCAAGGACAGCTGGGTGCCAGGCTGTGAGAGGGGTTGGCTCCCTCGTGCCCACCCAGCTTTAACATTAATACTCTTACAGAAGGTCAAGCTCTCCCGGGAAGAAACGGCAACGTCTGTGCCTAGGACCAGCCCCGGATTACAGGTCCCTCTCTTCTGGAAGCTTTTTATTTTTGTAGAACTGACCCCAGTTTGATCTGCATTAAAAAAAATGGGGGAGAAACAGGACCTTGGGGAAAACGGAAGGCCACAGCGAGCCCCTGCTTAAGAACCCTTGCTGTGGGGGCTGGGGCAGAGATGGCTGCCTGACAGACACTCACCGGAGGGGAGCCTGGGCACACGCGGTCAGTGCCTGGCCTCTGTGGGTGTGAAGAGTGTGTGCACACGTGTGTGAGAGGAAAGGGGCTTAGCCCAAGTGGCAGGGGGCCCCTTTATGCCTTCCAGCCCTGAGGGCCTGGGGGAGCCGCAGGATTTCACTTTTGCTTTGAGAACAGAGTTCCAGCAGCTCCACAGACTTGTTCAGAGTTAAGAGGAGGCAGCGTGAACTGCTGCCTGCGTCCATGGAAAAAACATTAGTTCTTTGCTCAAGTAAAAAAATATCAAATATAATAAATTTAAGAAAGCCCATTCATAACATACAGTCTGTTTTCTATTTTGCCTCAGCAGCTGGGCTAGAGTTGCTTTTCAGAGCCCCTGGAGCGGGTGGGGGGTCTCTAGGAACAGGTCTCTCCCAAGGGCCGGCTGCTTCCGGGCGTCGACTTGGGCCACAGAACTCTGCTTTGATCCAGAGGGCTGAGACCCATCTCTCACCCCCGAAGCCCAAAGCGAGGGAGATCCCAGGGCATGCTGGTTTGTGGCTGCATTCAGCTTTACCACAATGCAACAGGCTGCCTTTCTGTGTGTCCTGGCCAGCTGGGACAGGCCTCACACGATAGACTCCCGGTCCCGGTCTGGGGATGTGGGGAAGTCGGCAAGCTCTTCGCTGCGGCTGTAGTCAGACACCCGCACCTGCAGGTTATCGCTGGTGGCCCTGGTGACGCTGTCATAGGAGGGTGGGAAGGATGTGGAGGAGATGGAGGAGCTGGAGGGTGGGCCCACGCGCCGGGAGAAGTTCTCATTCATCATGTAGGCGATGAGGCCCTCTTGTTCCGGGGCGTCCTCTTCGGACAGGCCGCTGCTGCCTGTCTGCTGGCGGTAGAGGAAGGAGGCGTGCTTCACGGAGCGCTGCAGCAGGTGCCTCCGGAAGGCCCGCTGGATGATGGTGGCCGACACTTCTTCGTGCTTGCGCCGCAGTGTGGTGGTGATGGGCTCGTAGGAGATCTTGGACGGGTTGGCTGCCATGAACTTCTCCTCCATTTGGATCTTCAGGGCGTCCATCTCCCCAGACTCACCCAGGACCCTCTTGGTGAAGGCAAAGAGGATGTCCATGCAGTGAATACGGTCCCCACTCACCATGGGCAGGTCCATATTGATGAGGCTTATCTGGTTGGGTTTGGCGATGCGGAGCGGCTCAGACAGGGCATCAGCGAAGTCAGACAGGGCTGAATATTCAATGAACTGGGTCGCCTCTGGGTCGAACTTCTCCCAGATCTCGTAGAACATGTCGAAGTCATCCTCGCTGAGGGGCTCAGTGCTCTCCTCTGTGGCCACACTGAAGTTCTCCAGGATGATGGCGATATACATGTTGACCACGATGAGGAAGGAGATGATGATGTAGGTAGTGAAGAAGAGGATGCCCACAGCTGGGCTCCCACAGTTGCCCCGGGAGCCATTGCTGTTGGGCAGATTGGGGTCACAGTAGGGGGGCCCCGTGTTGAGGATGGGGCTGAGGAGGCCATCCCAGCCCGCTGACGTGGTGATCTGGAAGAGACACAGCATGCTGTTGGCGAAGGTCTGGAAGTTGAACATGTCATCAATGCCAGCCTCCCACTTGACATAAGCGAAGTTGGCCATGCCGAAGATGGAGTAGATGAACATGACGAGGAAGAGCAGCAGCCCGATGTTGAAGAGGGCCGGCAGGGACATCATGAGGGCGAAGAGCAGCGTGCGGATCCCCTTGGCCCCTCGGATCAGTCTGAGGATGCGGCCGATGCGGGCCAGGCGGATGACTCTGAAGAGCGTTGGGGAGAAGAAGTACTTCTGGATGATGTCTGAGAGCACGGTGCCTGTGGGACACAATGGAGACTGTGGCTATGACGGTACGACTGACCTCCCACCAGCTCAGCCTCTCTGTCGGGGGAGTTTGTGCAGCAGGGAGCCAAGGAAAGGTGACCTTCCAAGAGGATTGGATCAACCAGGCCGTGCAAGGACCCTGTTCCCTCCTGCCTAAGTCTCCATTTCTGCATCTGTAATCCAGAAAACGAGGGCCCCTGGTACTCACATCCTTTGCAAAGTGCCTCCTGAGTTCCTCTGTTCCTTTATCTTCTAAGAACACCCACACGATAGAGGCGTCCTGGGTAACTTCTAGATCATGGGTTCTCTGGCCTGAGGGGACTTGCTCAACGACTCAGTGGCCCAGCTTGGACCAGAACTTAGTTAGGCCTTTTAGCTTCTTGTGAGTCAGTGTGGTCCGAGGATTAGAAGTCATATCAGAAACGCAGAAACTTAACTCCACCCCAGACCACTGTGTTTTAACAAGCTCAGATGGCTCACGCGTACACTGGCGTGTGAAAAGCCCTGGCCTGGGGTGGGCATGCTCCCGCACACCGTGCCGTCTGCCACTCCACAGCCCCTCTGAGATTGTTCCTATCATTCTCCCAACCCTTCCTGCGTCTGGGGCTTCCCCACCTTGGACTCTACTGACTACCTGGGTTTGAAATTTTAAGTAGCAGGGATATAAAGAATGAAACAGATTTGCCTCATATTGGCCTAAGGGAGCTTTCTAGACTCCTCAGATAATAATGGTGGCACTGACTGACATGCATCCAGTGCTTACTGCCAATAGGCAACTGGGTCCTTCCAGTCATTCTAGGAGGTAAGTTGATGCCATTGACCTCCTTTTCTGGAACAGACCCAGGATGCCACCTGGTCAGTGAGAAGCTGGGATTTGACTCAGACACTGTGGCTCCAAGTTGCCCTGTTAACCATGCCTCCTTGGTGCCACCAAGCACCAGGACTAATGGGGGTTCCCAAGGTATAGGCTGCACCTCCTGAAGCCTCTGGGACAGTCCCTCAGCAGCTACACTCCTGTTGCAGGCACCCTGAATCCTCTAATGCTCTCCCTATTCTCACTAGGCACGCTCTTGCCCTCGCTCTCCTTGGGACCCCCTAGAGCATTTCCTGACCCCATTTCCAGCTCCTCCCCACTGCCATTCTGCAGCCACAGCAACCCGGGCTTAGTCTCCAAGTTTCCCTCTGAATTTGCCCAAGGAGGCTGGAGATGTACATGTGGAGAGATGAAAGTCAGTCACCCCCAGGCAGAGTCCCGTGGGGGGGCAGGGACAAGAGTTTGAGCTCTGAGCACAAGTGGGAGAAGAATAAAATATTGCTATAAATTTATCTTTGAAATTAAAGCCTTTTTGTTTCAAGAGACAGCAACTGAGAAAGTGAAAAGAAAATTCACAGAATGGGTGAAAATATTTGCAAGTCATGTATCTGCTAAGGGACTGGTATCCAGAATATATAAAGAACTCTTACTATTCAATAATAAAAACATCAGTAAGCCAATCAAAAAACAAGCCTAAGATTTGACTAGTTATTTCTCTAAGTCTTTTTTTTTTTATATGTATACTAAGGAAAATGACCGATAAGCACTTGAAAAGATGTTTCAACATCTTAGTCATCAGGGAAATGCAAACCAAAACCTCAGTGAGATATCACTTCCTCCCCACTACAGTGGCTATAATAAAAAAAAAAAATTACAGAGAAATAACAAGTGTTAGTGAGGATGTGAGGTAATTGGAACTCTCTGCACTGATGATGGAAATGTAAAATGGTACAGCCACTTTGGAAGACAGTTTGGCAGTCCCTCAAAATCTTAGATTAGTGGTTGCCAGGGGCTGTTTCTTTTGGGGGTGAGGAGAATATTCTAATATTAGATAGTGGTGAGGTTTGCACAGCTCTGTAAATACACTAAAAATGACTAAATTGTACAATTCAAAGGGTGGATTTTATGGCATGTGAATTATATCTTAATAAAACTGTTACCAAAAAAGACTTTGGGCTTGGAGATCAAATGGACATGGGTGCATGCTAAGGTCTGAGTGTTGGGGTCCTCCCAAGGATGGTGGTATTAGGAGGTGGGACATTTGGGAGATGCCTACGTCATGAGGCTGGAACCCTTGGGAATGGTATCAGTCCCTTGTAACAGCAGCTCTAGAAAGACCCCTAGTCAGTCGCGCTACTGTATGAGGACACAGCCAGAGATGCTGGCTATGAACCAAGAAGAGGATAGTTATCAGAATATACAGCCAGGCTGGTGACTTAATCTTGGACTACTAGCACCCAGAACTGTGAGAAATAAATTTGTGTTCTTTATAGTTATCCCAAATACCCAGTTTGGTATTTCATTATAGCAGCCCAAGGAGACTAAGTGGGAATCCTGACTGTTGCTAGTTATATGACCTCCCTGCCTCAGGGCTGTCTTTGTGAGGCTGACTTCATGCGTTGGGTGATATCTGAAGGAGTATGCCACACACCTTGATGACTAGACTCCAGAATTTTCCATTTCAAGGATAACTTTGATGCTGAGGGCCACCTGTCTCTCTCTCATCCTTGGCCATTCACCTCGTCCTGAGTGAGCCTATTCCTCCTGTGCCTCAGGGAGTAGGCCTCCACTAGGGAGGGCAAGAAAACCCTCCTCTTCCCAGATTTACCCCTGAAGCTCTCCAAGTGGTCAGAGAGCATGTTTCAGGGACCCCTGGAGGGTGCTGCCAGAAAGGGGTGCTGAGTTTTCTGCAGGGTTGGCCCTTTTGGTCTGAGTGGGTCTTCCCAGATAGGGTCTCTCTGGAGGGATGTGTGTGTGTGTGTGTGTGTGTATGTGAGAGAGAGAGAGAGAGAGAGAGAGAGAGAGAGCTCACGCGCAGAGGGAAAGGTGAGGAATGCAGAGAGAATGGATGGAGGGGCCTAGTGCAGTTAAGTACTGACCCAAGACTGTCTGGCCTGGGAAGGGGATCTCCATCCACCCAACATGCACACCTACCCACAATGGAGAGGATGACGACCACGAAGTCGAAGATGTTCCAGCTGTTGGTAAAGTAGTAGTGGCGCAGGGCAGCCATCTTGACGATGCACTCGCCTGTGAAGATGGCGACGAAGAGCAGGTTGATCTTGGCCAAGATGTTGACTTTCTCAGGGCTCTGGTCGTCTGTCTCCACCATCATGGTCACCATGTTCAAGCAGATGAGAAACATGATGGTGACATCGAAGGCTTGCTTGGTCACAATGTCGAATATGAAGCCCTGGTACTTGTTCTGAAAGGAGGGGCAAAGAATGGACTCAGCAGGCGTTTCAGACAGGCAAGCAAGGTCCCTGGAGCTGCCGAGAGGCTGAGACCACCTCATCTTCCTACTCCACCTTCTAGACTATTGTGAGAGGAGGAAGTCACAGAGAATGCAATACCCTGGCCCTCCTGCTGAGAAGTTCCCTGTGCTGTAGGGTCTAGCCCAGGCTCCTGCTTTCCTGAGGCCTTCTTGATGGATCTTCAGGAAGGGGTTTATCCTCCCCTGAGCTGCCGTAGCACCTTTTGTTCTCACTGTCTGACGGCCCAAGGTCAAGCTTAGTAATTTTATCAGCTCTCAGATTAGCAGATTTTCTCCACTATTTTTACGAAATTGATTTTATTTATTCTACTAACTATATGTATGTGTCTTTAATTGTAAACCAGCCCACGTAATTTTGGAGAAGAGATAAGATTTATAAATAAGTGCAAACACACACAACTAACCTAGAATAGAGCATGGTGAATGGGAACAAGTCAGAAGGAAATGATGACTTAGATTAAAACCTGGGACTACCACTTACTAGGATTTTGGTTATGTCACCTAATTACTTTGAGTACTTCCGCCAACCCTGCTCTGACACACACACACACACATACAAACACACAATTTTTGGAGAATGTTTTGACAGGGTCAAAGAAATCATTCTATCAGTGGACCTAGCACCCCCTGTACCCCCACCACCTTAACCTACCAGCTACAGCCCCAACTGCTGAGGGGGGTTGCAAGGATGAGGCTATGAATGGGGGTGGAGGAAGCCTGTACCCTTGCAGGGGAGACGAGGCTCACACAGAGGCAGGTGGGTTGAGTGGGAGGTGAGTGTCCTGTGTCCACCGCCTTCTCATGCCTTCCTCACTCTGTTCACGAGCCCCAGACCTTCATGTGTGGTCAGGCACCTGAGGGTGTCCCTTCTTCCCTGGGCCAGCTGAGGCCCCAGGTGAAAGACTGTGAGGAAGCCCTGATAGCTGACTGTATGGTGGTGGTGGCTTCCTAAGATGCCCCAGGAGATCTTCTCTATTCCCAACAAATCAGGAGCCTGTCTCACCAGGGGACGTGGGATGGGCTTCTGGGGCTTCTTGGAGCCCAGCTTCTTCATGGCGTTGTAGTACTTCTTCTGCTCCTCCGTCATGAAGATGTCCTGGCCCCCTAAGTGCAGAGAGACAGTCCCAACCTCATTTTAGGGTTCTTAGAGGCTCCAGCATAGAGAGCACAGGGATCTTTCTCGCCTACTTGATGAGGGCAAGAAAGATAAGCCAACCCCTTACTTCCTCTCCCCGTGGAGATGAGTATGCTGCTGATCCTGCATCAGAGTCCTCACTAACCTCTTCCAGGTTCTTGGTCTCCCTTCATCTTGCTATTTCTCTGGCTTTGTACCCTGCAAATGCCCACAAGCCATTCCCTCTCCTTTCCAGCTCAGCAGCCTGGACAGTCTCTCTGCCCTTTGTCTTGCCCTTCGCCCAATCCTGACCTGCTGATGGAGCCCCGCCCACTGGCCCTGATCATGGACCAGAACAGTCCCAACCTGCACCCAGCTTCTCTCTGGGGCCTTATCTCTCAGGCAGACTAAGGCGGGCATGGGGCCTCTTGTTGAAGCCGCTTAGTACACGCTTATAGACCTAGGTCTGTTACATCACGATGCACCCCCTCTCCCACCCCATTCTAGCAGGAGCAAGAAGAGGACCATTTCCAACAGGGAAGGCAAAATGGGGCCAGGAGCCAGAACGGCCCCCAGTCTAAGGGCACCCAGCCTGCCTTGCCCACCCAGGTGGGGGCCTGGGCTCTACTTATCTTTTTCTTCTGTTGGTTGAAGTTATCAATGATGACGCCGATGAAAAGGTTCAGGGTAAAGAAAGAACCGAAGATGATGAAAACGACGAAGTAGATGTACATGTAGAGGTTGTACTCCCACTGGGGCTGCTCTTCATACTAAGGGGGAATCAGACAGGCGGATAGACAGCAGGAGGGAGGGGCAGGCTGGGGGTGTCACTGCATTCAAAGGAGGGTCACCAGCTTAGGGGTGTGTGACTGTGTATGCAGGTGAGTTTAGAGCAGGCTGGGGAGGTGGGGCCGGAGTTGAGAAGAGAGGATGTGGCAGGGAGGGGAGCGCTTGGCTGGGCTGGGGCTGCACTCTGCCCCTGGGCCTTTTGCAACTTTGGAGGCCTCTGGGAATACTCAGTCTTCAGAGAACTGAAGAGTGATTGGGTGGCACACAGGATAAAGAAGAAACTTGATTTGTATCTATAGAGATATAGAAATATATAGAGATATAGATATGGAAGCTATAGAGCTTCCACCCCACCCTCCTGGGATAGACTGCAGATCAGGACATGATAACAAATATAATTTGGAAGATGTTGGTTTTGAGACTCTATGGGAGAGCATGCAATCCCGCCCCAGGGCCGGAGCCAGAGAGGCTCAACTCCCAGTGGACTAAGACAGCTTGCCCCCCGGGACGCATCTGAGATGGGACAAAGACTCTCGGTGGCCAAGCCGCAGGAGTCTCTGTGCCTGCGTTGGTGAGCGACACCAGTGTGGCAACCTACCCCCCTGGAGTCCACAGCCGCGTACATGATATCCATCCAGCCTTTGAATGTCGCCTGCAAGGAAAGGATATGTGTAAGAACACCACTGAACTCTACGTCTTGCTTGAGCCACTTGGGGCAACTCTGGGCAACCTCGAGGTGGCCTGGAAAGAGCCTCTGGAGGAAGCAGGCTGCCCGCCTACCCCTTCAGCCGGTCCAAATGGCTGAGCTCTCAGGGAAAGGCCTTCCTATTGAGCCCAGCAGACACCCCAGGGTGTCATGCCGGGGTGCAGGGAATAAGCTTTTTTGATGCTGGCCAAGACTGCTGAGGCCTGCCTCTCAGATCCAGTCACTTCAGAATCTAAAGAACACAGATCCAACCACAGGCGCCAGGGACAGAGAGGTGGGCTCTGGGCTGAGCGTTCGGGTGAACAGAGTGCTGACCCAGTCCACCTTGTCACGCCCCTTACGGCACCTTGTGGTTTCTGCCACAGCCTTTCAAAGGAAGTCCCTGATGAATCTCAACCTTCCCATAAGGCAGTCCTTCAGCCATTGTGTTGGTGAGAGGCTAACAAAGGCTTTCCAGAAGAGAACAAAGCCCTGATTGTTGTGTTTGCCAATTTCTCTGTGTAAATACTCTCACCACGGACAATTTGAAATTGCCAATGCATGCTATTGAACACAGTCGGGAAGAGATGCATGGGAGATGCAGTATAGAATTTCCATTTGTTGTATCGAACAAATATAGTAACTTCAAGCACTGATGTTAATAAATGGCAGTGGTGAGTTCTGAGTACTTACTGCTTTTCTTTTAATATTAGTGAGCTAAACTTAAGCTTAAAATCTAATATTTAATAATGACCATGTTTAACAACAAGCTTGCAAAATATCTGCAAATAGTATAATCGTCAGGTCTTGTAAGCTACACCACAGAGAGGGAGGCTGAAAGAGAAGGGCCTTGGTGCCTGATTCATTATTTGCCTGGATCTGGGCTGTGACAGATTCAGAAAGTGCCCAAGGGACATGCTTGGTACTGACACCACTGCCCAGTGGCTCTCACTTGTGGCCCAGACAAAATCCAGTCTGCCCTGAGCTTTCTTTTAGGGTAAAAGCTTGATCACACAAACTTTCATGTCTGAGAGTTCTTATAAGGCAGGCTGGGCACATTAGGGAAACTGAGGCTGCTCAGAGGAGGCAGGCAAGCTACTTCAGCTCCCTGTGCTACAAGACCCTCAATGGCAAAGAAAGACCTGGAAATAATTTGGTAACTGCTGAAGACCACGCAAGGTTGATCCGCGACTGAATTCCTTCTAGAACTGTGTGTTTGTCTCTGGACCAGCAAGCTCTTCCCAATTTACAAAGGGAGCCTTACATTCTGAGTTCTGACATTTAAAGGTACAGTGACTCAGTTTGGTTCTAATCCTGTTCTCCACCAGGTATGGGGGGGCGGGAGTCTTTGGAGAAAGCTGGGGCATAAGAGGTGGTTGGAAGGTGACTGGATAAGCAGTGAGTTTTCAAGTGAGAGTATGCTAGCTTTTCTTCTGCCTTTGGGTCTAGAGGAGTATGGGTTTAAGATTGGGATAGCAAGAAAAGCAAGCTGTAGCTTTACGCATGAAGGGTCTGTTTGCATTTCTGTCGTCAAGGCTGTTCATAGGTGATTTTATGGTGAGTATTGTAATCTTGGAAGCCCCTGTCCTTGCACATCAATGAAAACTTGGAAGGATTGAGCAGGGTGTGTGTTTAGTCACACATCTTGTGCATCAGAGGTGGAAGTAAATAAATTCCTTTAAGTGACATTAGAGATATCTTTTATGACAGAGGGGTGATCTGAGTCATAATTTTGGCAACAATTCAGACCCTGGGTGTCGATGGCCTTTCATATTTTAGCCTATGCCATCATACTGCTAAGGCGACAGTGTGAAGATAGTGTGAAGAGGTGAGCTGGGGAGTAGGCTGTGTGGCAGACTGTATCCCCACACCATGCGCCTTGGAGAATGGCATCTGCTCTAGGATGGACAGTCTAGGGACTTTTCTGGGGGGTCAGGAAGTCCCTGGAGAATCTTTGCCCTCCTTTGGGCAGCGCCACCTCACTGTAGAAACCCAATATGTCCCCTTGACCACCGACTGCCCATACTGAGGGTGAAGGTGCCCGAGACGGGGGAGCCAAAGGGAGGAAGGAGCCCCTCCTCACTGGGACTTACCACCTGCAGGAGGGCCAGGTACCCGGCCCCCACGTTGTCAAAGTTGACTTTCACCTTGGTCCAGTACAGCTCGCCAGTCACATTGAAGGACTCACAGTCGCTCTTGTTGTTCACAAAGGTGTAGTTCAAGGGCAGGTCTCCTTCAGTCTGGTTGATGCACCTCCCAAACTTCCCCGCGAAGAGGTTCACGCCCATGATGCTGAAGATCAGCCAGAAGATGAGGCAGACCAGGAGGACGTTCATGATGGACGGGATGGCGCCCACCAGCGCATTGACCACCACCTCAAATGGATAGAGAAGAGGCCCAGATCCTGTGGCATCCAGAGCATATACCCTTTTTGAGGACCACCCCCCAGCTACCGAACTCCTTGGCTACAGGTTCTGGTGGGGTCTGGAGTGCACCCTGAGGTCGTGGGCTGAGAGGAACACTTCTTGTCCCCAAGGAAGGGCACCCCATGACTCCCCTGGTGGGGAGCAAGAGGACACACACACACCTTTTTCTTGGCTTCCTAAGATCTAAGGAAATTCCAGAACACATTCCTTCCCCTCCTGGCCCTGCCCTGAATCTCTGATCGTCAAGCTTAGTTTTCTGTGGGGTCTCTGCTGCTTGGGTATGCCAGAGACATGCCTAGGAAAGGACTCTGGGGGTGCATTCCCTGAGCTAAGTTTCTGGTTTATGTTGGGCTCCTGCTACCGGAGGGGTTGCCCTCCCCCAGACCAGACCCAGGGGCATTGGGCAGTATGTGGACCGGTGCCTGGCAGTTCCCCAGTGCTCTGGTGAGAGCGAGCTGGGAGGGCACATGGTGGGGGTGGTTCTCTGATGTCACAGAGTCTCGACCTCACACTTTATCTAAACTCCCAGCAGCTGGCAAATGCATGTGGGGTCCTCCACCCCACAAAGTACTGTGAGCCAGAAGGCTGCGTAGACTGGAGGTGGAGCTGCTGAGGTGCTGCACAGTGTGACCCAGAGGGCCCAGTAGCTGGCACATGAAAATAAGAGGGGTCCCTGATCCCCAGCAGGGGTGCTGAACCCAGGATCAGGGTGGGAGACCCAGCAGAGGCATGGCTGGTATCTAACCTGTCACCCACATTCTGGAATCAATTGTCCCTTGCTCCCCAAGAAACATTTAGCTTAGGCTGGGTTATTAACTTGCAGATGGTTTCCTAGTGGGAAAAAGTGATTTGTTTCTCCACGAATTGGGAATGTGGGCAAAGCTCAAAACCATCAACCAAATGGGGGCTGTGTGATGGTGCCTGCTGGGTGCGTGAGGGGCACACGGATGTGTCTGTGAAGCCACAATAGAACTGGGCACACTTTGTGAAAGACACATACAACGAAAGTCATAAGTGTATACACACACACACACACACACACACACACGTTTGTTTGCTTGTCATATATTATGAGTAATGTTTTTTCTTGGTGAGCTTCTAAGTTTGTCTTACATATGCACATTCTTTGGTAAAATTTGGCGACTTGAAAAATGCAGTTAGAAAATAGAGCAAAAGAGTTTTCTAAGTAAATGCAAACTGATACCCGATGGTGAGAACGCAGCTTGCTCCTTCCTTGCTCCCTCCATCCTATCACAACCCTTCTGCCCCCTGCACACAGAGGGAAGGGGCCTGTGCTGCCAGGAGGCAGGGGGTGCAGACGGGCTCATGGAGAGTCGGGGCATGCCCAGAGATGAGGCCCGCAGGAGAGCAGAGCAGAGGAGCCCCCAGGCCAGCAGAGCTGGGCTGCCGTTAAGACCCTCCCCGGCCCCTGCCTGTCTGCTGCCTGACGCTCTCCTGTCCTCATGGAGGACACAGCCTTGGCGAGGGGTCTCACAGTTCTCTGTCCTCCTGGTGCCTCCAGGCCCCGCCTCGGCCCTCCTGGAGATTCTACACCTTTCTCTCACCAAGGCAGGGGCCACGGTCCCAGCGACACGGTCTGGGCTGCTCGGTCAGCAAGCCGAGTCTGGGGATAAACCTCCTCCCCCTGCCCCCAGAGAGGCGGCCACCGCCCCCCCTTACCCTCATGCCCTCAAATCGTGACAGGGCTCGCAGGGGTCGGAGTGCGCGCAAGGTCCGCAGCGACTTGATGGGGCCCATCTCGGCAAAGCCCAGGGTGTTGGCCACCAGGCTGATCAGGGAGACCTGTGGAAGGCAAGGCGGGGTGGGGTCTGGGGACAGCTCTGGGGGTGGGGGGCAGGGCTCCTGGTCCGCCCGGAGCCAGGGCTGGGCGCCGGAGCAGCAGGCCGTCCCCACGTCCAGTCTATTTCTCTCAGCTGGATGGTCTCACGGGCTGTCGCGCATGGTCTCAGACTTCTTGGGGCAAAGGAGACTTGGGGGTGGGGGTTAGGGCATAAGTGTGTCTTGGCTTTTATTCCTTTAGGGAGCTGCCAAGTGCACAGCACACATATGCCCTGTCATGGCCCCCCTAACACGAGGACTGCAAAGGCTCTATCCCTCGTACGCAGACGAGAAAACAGTTCTGAAACCACCGGGCTAGCGTGGAGAAGCAGAGACTTCAGGCCCGGGCACTCGGTCCCCATGCGCGTTGCTTGTGTCTTCCTCGCGGGCCGGCCCATCGCCTTGCCCAAGGAAGCCTCTTCTGGAAAGAGACGACTGGCCTGGGTTAAGCATGAAGTGACAGACACGCTGGGGCACCTTCCCAAACTGGGCTTTGCAACATTTCCTCATCTTCAAAGAAGGGAGGCGCAGGTGGACATTCTGTCTCTAAGGGAGCCCCCGGCTCCACCCCACTGGGGCGTTTACACACCACAGGCTTTACCCTTCGAAAGCTCTATCGGCCTCTAGTCCCTTCTTACTTCACTGCTGGCCAGTGTTCACAGGCTGGAAATAGCCTCTCGCCTGACCTCCGTCATCACTGATCCCACCCCTGCCCGCTGGCAGCCTGGGGGTGGTGAGGGGCCACGGGCAGGTCTGTGATTCCTACAGCCTCCTCCCAGGCTGGGAAACACCCAACAGGAGGGGGCTGGGCAGGGGAGCTTAGAGGAGGAAGTTCTGGGATCTGGGGTCTTGGGACTTAGTGCTGTCTCCTCTCCCCAAAGGATCCAACCTCCTACCCAGGCACCCCCTGGGCTTATGCTGGGCAGGTAAGCCTGCCAGATACCTGGATCCCAGTCAGTGTTCACGGCTTTCTCACTCCACAACCCTTGCCTCCTCCCCCAAGTGGTTCCTTCTACCTGTGCCAGAAGAACCTCTCCTGCCTGTCCAAGATCCCTCCCCCAGCCCTGCCCGCTCTGGCTTCTGGCTCACTCTGTCCCCTGCCCAGACAGCTCCCTCCTCTGTGAGGGCCAGGAGGCTCTGACCTGGATGTCTGTGTGGTAGGCCTGATAGACACTACCCAGCACGCTGTGGTGAGAGCTATAAGACAGGCTTGTCTGCTCTCCCCATTTCTGGCCACCCCGAGAGGGTGAATCCCCTCCCTGCCCTGGCTCACCCCTGTCTGGACTGCCCTCGACTGTCCCCCTTGATGAGTCTAGTCTCCCCCAGAAGTCTGGGGGCTCCTCAGGCAGTGCATAGGTCTTGCTCTGCTGCGCTCTCTCCTCAAATTACAGGTTCTGATGGGAGGGACCCCAAGGACAGGACTGGGGTCTCTCCCTCATGGCCCTACCTCTGGCCTCCTTCCCCTCTGCCTGCTCCACACCGGCTGAGCACCTCCACACTAGCCTGCTCACTCCCAGCCGCCATGTTCTTTCTGTCTGTCTCTCTGCCTCGGCTCCTCTTGCACGGGGGCCGGGTCTCCCCTCTTCCCTCTGGGCGCCCACACTCACGTCCACGATGAGGAAGTCCAGCCAGCACCAGGCGTTGGTGAAGTAGTTCTTGAAGCCGTAGGCCACCCACTTGAGCAGCATCTCCAGCACGAAGACATACGTGAACATCTTGTCGGCATATTCCAGCAGAACCCTGATGGTCTTCCGCTCCTCCAGGTAGATGTCCTCGAAGGCCTGCAGACCGGGCCAGACAAGATGGCCGTGACGTCCTGCCCACCGCCAGTCCCACCCTGCATGAGGCTTCATCTCTCATGGTAAGGCCGCCCAGGAGGGCAGGACAGAGGTGAGACGCGACCTGCAGGGGAGTCCTCCCTGCTCAGCGCTGGACCGTGCCAGTCCATCATCCACCTGGGACCACAGTCCACTCTGCAGGGAACGTGTACATGCTGTGGGCTGTGACGTGACCTCACGTGGTGTGTGGACAGTTGGGCAGAATGCGTGCGGAGGATGCCTCTTCCTTCACATGGAAGAGTGTGTCCTGGGCGAGAGCATCTTTAAGGCCTAACACTTGCTGAGCCCCCATTTTAACCCGGGAAGAAAGTGAACCAGCTCAGCACAATATCACACCTTTCCCCCTCACTCTCTGTACTTTTACCTACTTCTCACAGGAAACGATACTGGCTTCCTATTATAATCAGTAAAAATTGCTCTTTACAACAAATGTATTTTAATGAAAACAATGAGAGCTGATCTGAAGCAAGCTAGAACATCCCCGAGGCTGGAGGCAGCTTGCAGATATGAGATTTAGGGGAGACGGCACTCCATAAAACCCAAGCCTTTGCAATTCTCAGAATCTAGGAGGCAACGTTTCTAAAATGCCACAAGTTATGAGTCCTTTTTCCACCTCCTCATTCCTGCCTCAACCCACATTCCTGAACCAACCCAGGAGCTCCCATGGCTCCCAGCTGCCGGGATCCGCCTCCGCCTCTGACTTCACCTGCTCCTCTCAAGTCACTGCCCTCGGTCCAGAGTGCTCCGAGGCTCCCAGTCTAGGCAACTGAACACGTCATGCGGGCCCCAGGGGCTGCCTCCCCCGGCTCTCTGGGGCTCCCTGTCTGACTGCAGGGCCCCTGTGAGCTACCTGCTCCGGGTCAGCAGAGGGGATACATAGGGCCGAGGCAGAGCTATGGCCGCTCTGGCTGGTGTAGATGCGGCAACAGGATAATTCAAGTCCCAAAGAGGGATAAAGTGTAGGTGCATTTCCCCCCAATCATTAAAATGTGTGCTTCTTATAAAAATTAAATAACATAAGCATTATAGAAAAGAGAGTAAAAGGCACCTCCAATTTCACGACACTACAGCAACCCTCCACTAACATTTGGGTGAACTTCCTTTTCGGCGCTCACCATTTATACATGTGAGTGTGAGGTTTTATAAGACACACTAAATATTTTGCACTGAAAAGTTTTCCACTAAACAGTCTCGTAGGCATGTACCTACTCATTAACGCGACCACATCTATCCATCATTCTTTTGTAAAGGCTGCATCATCTTGTATTGTTTACATCTATACTGTTTCTCTGGCCAACAACCCTACTAATGAACATTCTAGTGGTTTCCATTGTAGAAACGACATGGTCATGAACAGTCTGTCTGATTTTCTGTCGAGGAGAAGTTTCTAGAATTGGGGTGCCAGGTCAAAGGTGTACTTTGGGAAGAGGCCCTCCTAGAGAGGCACCAATTGACACGCCCTCCACTGGGCACTCCTCCCACGCTGGCTGTGTTTCTCCATTGTCACTGTTCCCAGACTAATGAATGAAAATTGTATTTTGTTACATTTTAATGTATTAGTCGTGCTGCTGGCATGGTTTCCTTGGATATTTGTAATGTTCCTTTTGTGAATGTTTGTTCACCTCCTTTGCCTGCTTTTGTTTACTTGAGTGGTTTATTTGGGGACATTAACTCTTTGTGTAACACACTTTACCCTAGTCGTGTGCCTTTTGTTTACCTTTGCTCACCATACTGAAGTTCTACGCTGCATTTTCGTTTATTGTAATGTGCTATAATTATATCATTTATTATGATCTTCATCTAGTAAAACCTTTTTGAATTCATGTTATGAAAGCTCTTGCCTCCCCTAAGGCTAGAAATGAATTCTTTGTTACCTTTGTGATTTCATTATTTAATATTACCGATAAAATATCTAATAGATTTTGGTAAAGAGCAAATATTCATTTTAATAACTTGCAGAGTATCTTGTCAACTGTCCCATCACCTTAATAAAGAATGTACTTCAAGTCCATGGATTGGAATAGACTACATTTCCACGTTTGTTTGTTTTTAGAGAAGTCTGTGCCTTTGCTGGTCAGGCTATTGAGGGGGCTGAAGTGAGAGCAGTGGGTGGCCCCAGTGCCTGGCTGGCCATGTTTGACAGGCTGGTAGATGATGGAGAACTCGCCAAGTAGTGGCCAGTCATCTCAGGCTTCATCTCTGTGTTTAAATTTATTTCAGATTTCTCTATGTGGTTCTACTGCTGTCTGTTTCCAAGTTAGTAATCCTATGGATTTTTCAGGCCATTTTTTAAGTTATTTTCAAACTGAATTTCAGCAATGTTTTGTCAAATTGCTTCAAAAATGTTGGAAATTTACTGTTGTTGCATTGAATTTACTGTTTTAGAAGCTAATACAGAGTCTTCCTATCCAAGACCAAAGTCTGCTTATAGTATATATTTGTCTTCTTTTACACTCTTTGGCAAAGTCTCATAGTTTTCTTCATGCATCTCACACATTTCATAGTATATTTATTCCCATTTATTTTATGCTTACAGTGTGCCTGGCTTGTAAGAAATATTTGGGAAAATGTTATTCACAATTAATTGGTTTCTGTTAGTATGAAACAATGACAGCAACAATTCTTTGTATATTTATTTTACAATTGGTAATATAATGTTTTCAATAGGCTTTAAATTTTTTCTAGACAACCATTATGTTTCTATTTATTTCTGTTACATTGAACACTTATTTCATGTTTGACTGTATTAACTGCAATTCTTCTATTTTCTAATTTTTACACTATATGTTTACTTTTCTTGATTAATCACACTAGCCAGGCCTTCAGACTATTATTAAAGAATGAACAAAGTTTCATTAAATCATCCTTTTCTTATTCCTGACTTTAATGAAAATGTTTCAAGTACTTTACTACCATGATGAAAACAAAAATTAATTTGAGAGTAGTTTTTTTCCATTAAATTAAGTAGATAAATTTTATTCCTAGTCCTGGCGCAGCGGTTGAGCGCTGGGTTGCGAAGCTGCCCGCGGCCTCTGCAGTGCCTGTTCGATCCCCGGCTGCTCCCCGGCCACCAGAGGAGGGTCCCGCATGGCGCGCAGACCTCTCCTGCTGCCCGCTGCTCCCCTCAGCAGTGTACTTGGGTCCTTCTGCCTGCTCTGCTCCCCGCTCTGGCTCTGGTGAATTCTCTCACCCTCCCACGCTTCTGACTGTGCCCAGTGCTTGTATAAATAAATAAATAAATAAATAAATCTTTAAAAAAAATTTTATTCCTAGTCTTAAAAGTCAGGTGGTTTTTTTTTTTTTTTTTTTTTTTAAAGATTGATTGATTGATTGATTTTTTTGTGGGACCCTCGCCGGTGGCCGAACTGGCGCCGCAGAGGCTGCGGGCAGCCTTGCAACCCAGCGTTCAACCGCTGCACCACCAGGGGAGGCCCTTAAAGATTTATTTATACAAGCACTGGGTACAGTCGGAAGTGCAGGCGGGTGAGAGAATTCATGCGCCATGTGGGACCCTCGCTGGTTGCGGGGGATCGAACCGGCGCTGCAGAGACTGCGGGCAGATTTGCAGCCCAGCGCTCAACCACTGTGCCACTGGGGAGGCCCTTAAAAGTCAGTTTTAAAACTCTAGTTTAAAAATCAGGCATTCATTGAGAGAATTGTGTGGTTTATCTTCTCTGTCCTATTCACATAGATCTCCTAATATGGCACCATTCTGACATTTTGCATTATGCCTATAATATATACAATCTTTTAAGTGTTTTTTCTGGATCTTATTTGAACGTATTTTAAGATTTTTTGCACTCCGATAAATAAGGAATATGAAAATTAGTGTATGGTTTTCCTTTTGGTGTTGAGCTTTATTTTAAAATATCAGTTTTACTATATTTTCTTTATTATTTTTCCTGTTTCCTTAATTATTTGTTATTATATTTCTAACTTCTTGAGTAAAATGTTTATTTACATTCTTTCTATTTAATTATAAACATATTTTCTTTTTAAAGATTTATTTATTTATGCATACAAGAACTGGGGTTCGAGCCAGAGGTGTGGGGGGGGTGAGAGGATTCACCAGAGACAGAACGGGGAGCAGAACAGGCAGACGGACCAAAGACACTGCTGAGGGAAGCAGCGGGCGAGGCAGGAGAGGTCTGCTGCGCCATGTGGGCAGCTCCCTGCCCGGGGATGGAACTTGTGCTGCAGTGGCTGCGGATAGCTTCATAGGTTGCATCTTAACCCCTTGCGCCACCAGAGAGGCCCTAATTATAAACATGTTTACGTTCATGAATTTTCTGTTATTATAGCTTTGGTTAGATTTCACATATAGTATTTTTAATAATCTTCTTTTCTAGTTTTTTTTTTTTTAAACCCCAGTCAGTCTTTACCTCTATTTTTCTTTCTTATTTTTCTAAATCTCAGGTGGACAGAATTGGTTGGATCATAATTTTTGTTATACAACCCACTATCCTCTTTGGTCCATAAGTGGTCTCTTTATCTACTCACTTATTTATATGATGAAACCCATGAACCTACAACCGAATTATATTTTGTTTAATCAAAAGTTTCTTTAAGAATGACTTATATTTCTAAGTATTTGTTTTCAGCCTTTCCATTTTTTGTTATTTCTAATGGTTTCCTTATCTTAAGATAGGCTTAGTACTTGTCACACAGGGTTACTGTGAGAATTTATTCAATGAGTTAGTATTTGTAAAATATTTACAGTATTGTCTGGGACATAGTAGGTGCTATTTACAGTGCTATTATTTTTACAGTATTATTATTTTACAGTACTGTTATTTTTACTATCATTATGTTGCATTAAATTTATTGACTATATTTTTAGATATCTCATTGTGCCTTATTCTTTCTATTTAATTTGTCAGGAACTAGTGTGGGGCAAAATCTCGCTGTGCAATTGCACTATTGCCACTTTTTCTACTTTTTCCCATGATTTTGGCTTCATGTAAGTGCTATCGATTCCCAAATGATTATATTCATAATAGTTATATTTTTGTTGTCAGAGTTTGCATTTGCCTTGGATATTATCTCACTTTTATTTTTTTATTATTATTTTTTTAATAGAGGCATGTTTTATTTATTTATTTGTTTGTTTGTTTGTTTTGTTTATACATGCACTGGGTACAGTCAGAAGCGCGGGAGGGTGAATTCACCAGAGCCAGAGCGGGGAGCAGAGCAGGCAGAAGGACCCAAGTACACTGCTGAGGGGAGCAGCAGGCGGCAGGAGAGGTCTGCGCGCCATGTGGGACCCTCCTCCAGTGGCCGGGGAGCAGCCGGGGATCGAACCGGCACTGAAGAGGCCGCGGGCAGCTTTGCAAGCCAGCGCTCAACCGCTGCGCCACCGGGGAGGCCCTATTATCTCACTTTTAATATTTGATTCACAATGTTTCAGATGTGTCATTTAACACATAGCTGAAGTTTTACTTTTTTTTGTTTTGTAAAAATCCATCCAGAATCCTTTTCTTTTAAAAGATGAATTTTATCCAGTTACATTTATTATTAACAACAGGTTTAATATTACCTCTGTCACATTATTTTGCTCCCTGATTTAATGCTTCCTTGTTCTTTCTTTTTTCTCTTATCTGTTGCTGTAAGATTTGTTTTCTTTTAAAAAATTTCCTTTCAGCAATTTGGAAGGGATAAATAGTCTGCTTTCTGTTAAACAAGCTTATAACTTTAAATAACACACTCAGATTTCTCTTTCTCAATATATCATTGATGTGTGTTTTTTTTAACAGTGCTTGGCTGCCTACCCTGATTAGAGTCACCATTTGCTTGCCAAAACTCCTCCTCACTTATGCCAGGCTGAGCTTTTCCTCCACAGCCCAGACTAAATGGCTCAGGCTGCCCTTGTTTGTGGCTGTTTAAAAACAAAACTCGTTAACATATTGTCAAATCATCCTTCTCTGAAGCCTACAGAGATTTCGCTCTAGCTGCCAATGGTAAGACAGAATGCAGGCTGCATGTGATGGCTCCAGGCCCACTCTGGAACAGGGAGGGCCTGAACTGGGTGGGATGGGAGCCTCAGAGGTTTAGAAGTGACAGCCACAATGTCTTCCTGCACAGGACACAACATGGGGTGGAGGCACACTGCCGATTCTAAAGTGCCCTGCGCTCCCTCTCTGGGCTCCAAAGAATTTCGTGACTTGCTCATCCATGGGGCTAGCACCTCCCCAATGATTATCAGATGTTGGCTCCCCTGGGCCAGGGAAGTTTCTGTTTCTTCTGCTTTCTGCATCTCCTCTCTCCCTGTTTACCAGAACCTTCCAGAATCCTCTCTAGGGCTGTTCCATGTCCTCGTAGAAAGGCACTGACAGATCAGAGTAGGGTGTTTGGGAGCCAGGTAGGGCCTCCCTGGAGGGCCTCACTGAGCCTCCTGACGTCAACAACCTTCCCTATCCTCCATTGTCCAGCTCCATCTGCTTCCTCCAGGGAGACTCCCTAATGGCTCCAGATTCTCCTGATTGCCCATCACTCTGAGTCATCTGCTCCATTCTGGCTCAGAGCACTCTCTTGAGCTGATCTCTGACTATCCCAAGCTGCTGGATCTGGTTTCCCGAACTAGACTGAAGGTCCTGAGACCAAGCCTATAGACACCCTTCATGGCCCCCCCACTGCTAGATATAAGATTAAAAAAAAACTTATTGAACAAATCGGAGATCAAAGACAAAGGACTCTGGAATCCAAGTGCCAGGGTGCAAATGGCACATCTGCTGCTTGGAAGGGGTGGGACCTTAGGCAAGTTGCTTAATGTTTCCACAAAGGGTTGTTGGGGGATTAAATGTGATAATGTGTGAAATGCATAGCTTGTCCTCTGGCCCTAGAAGACAAGGAATAAGTGGAGCTGCCACTGTTCTAACAGCACCAATGTCAATGGCACTGAAATGGCCTGATGGAATGCCCAATGCTGGGTGCAGGTGGGTGTATCCCCAGAACTCAGGTGCAGGAAGTTGGTGACCTGTGACCTCTGCCAGCTGTGTCCTGTGATCTGGTACAATAAATTCCCTTTCAGGGAACAAGGGGGGCAGCACAGATGATCTCAGTAAACTGTCCTATTCTGACCTCTGCCTGGGCTGTGGGTGCTGAGAGTTTGTGAGTCGATCCCTATTCTGGAGGCCTGGGGGAGGGTATTTTCAGCAGAGGTTCTGCCCCAGTTTCTGGCCTGATGTTCTAGCTGGAGACCTCCATTTCCCGCTTCCCCGCTTCGTCTGTCCCTCCCTGCATCCCCAGGCGGGTACCAGTGCTCCACTGCTGAGCAGGATCATGAAGATGATGAATGTCTCGAACCAGCTGTGCTCCACGATGCGGTAGCAGGTCTTGCGCAGCCGCCACCACACCTTCCCTGGGGACTGTGTGGTGTCCACATTACAGCAGGGGCAGCGCCGGACACAGCCTAGAGGGGAAGGTGTGGGTTCAAGTCCATCTCAGGGCCTGTGAATACCCACGCCTGATGGCAGGAGGATGAAGGAATGAATGAGAGATTGCAATGGGGTAACGAACAGGTCTACATGGTGAGTGGGGCCGTGTGAGGGTGGGGAAGGGGAGAACTGGGGGGTGCAGCAGGTGCTCCTGGAGAGGCTGGATGGACCAGGCAACTGGGCACCTAATGAGTGGGTGAAAAACCTGGCAAGTCTATGCAGGGTTGAGGCAGGGGCTGGAATGGGCTTTAGCACATTCTTTGCTCATCTGACCCACAGCTGCCCGGGCCAGCGCACTATGAGCAGATACACCATGACCTATGTCATGGGCAGGTGGAGGAGTCCCCAGAGTTATGAGGGGTGGGGAGAGAGGGCAGATGTACAGGTAAGAGTAGGTGTGACATGACCTTGTGTCCCAAGGGCTGCTGGTCCTCCTGCCCCTCTGGTTGGGGCTGAGGCTGGGGCAAAGGGTGGCCTGGGCAGTACCTTCGGTGAAGCAGTCCTCTGGATCCTTGACATCCTCGCCCAGGTCAGGGATCTGCTCCAGCAGGTCAGCAGTATTGGTCATGTCTGCTGTGCTTCCCTCCGAGTAACTGTCTTCGTGGGTCTGTAGGCAGGGCCGTGGGATGGGGTGGGCGGAAGCATGAGTGTGGGCCATGCAGCATCCTCCAACCTTGTACCCAGAGGCTGGGGGAGCCTGGCGCTCCCTGGAGGGAGGTGCCAGACTATTCTCTATCATACACCCTGGGAACCTGAGCCTATGGTGGGTGAGAACCTGTCACAGAGCCCATCTAGGGCCAAACAGGACTGAGAGAAGCTGGCATCTCAGGATGCCTATGTCTGATTCTAGACTCCTAGACTCCTGGCCTGCTGGCATCTAGGGTGAGGATGCAGGGTGTTGGGGTTCAGGGAAAACACTGGGTATGAGGAATGCATCCATTTGGGAACAAAACAGACATGGGGCAGCAACACAGACACACACTGGCACAGGAACACACAGCAGGAGCTCAGTACACACAGGCATGCCACATCCAGAGCAGTTAGGACCACCACCATGGGTGCGCAGACACTAGGTCAGACATGCACAGAACCAGCCAGCCACCCAGCCTACGCATCTCACCCAATTTGAACGGGTGCTGCTCAGCGCCTGAAGAGTGACAGGTGCTAGAACCTTCCCTGTTTAGCCATGCAGGTTCTGTTCCCTGACTTGGATAGCCTGAGTTTAGAGAGGTGTGTGTGTGCAGTGTGCCCTTGTGAGCATGTGCAGCCTGTGTGTAGGCGTGCTGGAGTGGCCACAGGTGCTCTGCCCAGTTCCCCTCTGTCCTGCAGCGCACACATCCCCTGCCTCTGTGATCACTGGTGCCTCACTGGCCCCTGTTCTCTAGAACACTGTCTTCTGCCAGGGAGTTGCCTGGAAAGGGCTCAGGGGGTTCAACCCAAGTCAGGGGTGGCCGACACCCATTGACTGACTGATGTAGGAACACAAGGGCCAGTCCCTGGCTGTGGGTCGCAGCAACGCTGTGGTGCAGTTCACACTTCAGAGCACCCCTTGGAATGAGGCTGAGGTTGGAGTTTAGCAATCACGCTTGTCAGAGCTGCCTTCTTCGCCTCGGTCAGCTTCTCTTACTTCTTTGTCTCTCCTGAGAACACTCAATAGAGCACGTGCACAGAAATTGATCCCAGGCCCTATTTCGAGGAGCCCAGCCTGAAGATGGATGGTAGAGTAGAGGGTGCTGTGCGGGAAGGACAGTCTCCACTGGCCTCAGATCACACCTAAGCCCCCAGCTCGGCCGGCTGCAGTGCTCAGGCTGCACTTACAGACAAGGTGCTTTGAGCGCAGGTGCTCGGAGTCCACGGCCTGCCTCCACTGCCAAAGCTGCCTTCTCTCCTGCTCCTTCCACGACTCTTTCACTGCATCTCAAAGTCCACTTTAATGTCACGGTTTGTGGTAGGGAAGGGCTGGATTCTGGTGGGAGAAGCGCTCCTGGGTGCAGGCTGGGGCTGTGACCCAAGGGGTGAGGATTTGCCTTCCGTGGACCTGCCATCTTGAGGGCTTCTTCCCTCCTCCGCCAGCCTCGCTGTGAGGAGCGGAGCTGGGAAGCCTCCAGCTGGAATTCTTCATGCTGCTTTTCTTTTCAGATCTGGGTGCTGTCTAGGATACGCCATGTGTCACGTGGGAGGACAAGTTCTCAGGATCACACTGCAGGTGGAGGGGGGGATTGTTCCCCCAGGAAAGCCCCAGCCCACCTCTCGCTCCCTTTTATAGTCTCACTGTGAACTGACTTGAAGACAGGAAGAAATGACCAGACTTGTTCAAAGCCCAATATTCTGGCACGACAGTCCCCTCTTCTCCGCGACTTCCTCTGTCCCTTCCGTGTCTTCCTGTCCCCACATGCCTGCAGGTCTCAGGCCCTTCAGGGGAAGAAGTGGGACCTGGACTGTTGGGACGAGGACTCCCCTGGCCCTTGTGCTTCAAAACTGGCCGTGTTAGCAAAGCTTCCACAGGCACCTCCTTTGAGAACGGGTCCCTTGGAGCAAGTCTCAACTGCTGCACTAGGACAAGCAGGACCGATGCGGGACAATGGCCCCTGAGCAGCGTCTGAACACACGACCTCCCCTCCGCGCCGCTGGGAGTGAGCAGGGCGCGGTGTAGTTAACACACTGGCAGGGGTTGCAAACTCGCATGCGGGTAATGGGAGGAAGCCAGGCAGGCAGGATCTGTGGCAAACCCGGGAGTTCCTGCCTGTGTGCAGAGGAGGTCAAGGAGCCAGTCTCCAGCAGGCAGATTTCTGACTTTTCCAAGAGAAGCCAGAGATGCAGATTTTTTTTTAACCTCAAAACTGCCAGGTTTAAATGCTGGTGGCTAATTCACAGTAAAACCCAGTGTGGACAAACAAACCCCAACAGTAGGCTGGGTGGGTCTCCCTTCTAAGGCCTCTGCTTTAGTTCAGGTGAGAAGCAGCTGTTGGCCAATGTGCCAAGAACTTGTTCTCAGAGCTCCCAGAAGTCCTCTGGGATGGGGTGACACAAAAGGGACAAACATTTACCAGGCAGGAACAAAACCTGGGGACCCAGCGAGGAGAGGTGCACAGCTGGAGGTGAGACGGTGTTAGTCCTGGTCGAGTTAGGGTCCTCGACTGACTATTTCCAGAACTTCCTATGACTTTGAGCTGCAGGCCCTCCCTCCCCTGTCAGGACAGGGTTGCCCACAGCCTTGTCTGTAGATGAAAGTGTGTTACCTCACTGCACCCTGGGGCCGGGGACTCCACTTTGCGCTGCTGTTGCCAGTCTGCCTGAGCCGCACTGGCCTCGCCCTCGGAGGAAGCGGTCTCTGACACCTGGCTCGAGGCCCCGGGCTCCGGGAGGGCCTCTGGGCCACTGGACACAGGTTGGGATTCCTGCTGAAGAGACCCCAAATCCATGAGCTCCCTGGCCAGCGGGTCTCCAGGGCTCCGACTCTGTGGGCTTCAGGCCCCGACCATGCACCGAGGCACGGCCCTGGCCTCTCTATGAGGCCTGGTCTCACTGAAGACCCCGCACTCAGGGCCGGCTGGGAGGTCCAGGCAAAGGGTCTGGAACCAGACAGAGCTTGGCATAAATCTCTTGCACTTCCTGCTCCCTGGAAGGGTGCAGCTGGCCGTGACGCCCAGCTCCCCAATGCTGACAACTTCACTTAGGGAGGATGTGTTGATATTCCCCATGAGTTCCCATGGCACTTCAGCAATCCTGCACCAGTGCACACACGGCACACACACACACACACACACACATGCGCCCTAGGGAACCAGAGTTAGTGGGCTCAAGAGAAGGAAAGGAGAAGGCAAAGGAGTGGCTAGAATTCCATTTCTGCCCTGCCAGCATCCTGGAGATGACTGGAAGCTGTGGTCCTGGCTATGCCAACAGGCCTCCCAACTGACACTGTCTGATTCCAAGGGTCGAAGCTGGCCTCTGGCTCCACAGGGAAGCAGGAGAACATGGAATCTTGCCTGGAACCTCAGATCAAATTGCACGCATGGGGAGCAGCTGGTCTCCAGCCAGCTCCACCTAGGGAGGCCCCAGAGGAAGCGGCCAGGATGGACCCGACTAAACAGGGAGAACCTAAAGACCGAAGAGCCCAGCGCAGGCCCACTGTGAGTGTGCGAGGGGGGCACTGTCTCTTTTGTCCAGACTCTGGTCCTAAGTGTTAAAAATAACAGGTTGGGAGATAAGATAGTGCTGTCTCTGACACCTGTCATCTTAGGGATACTTATTTTTAAATCTCAGAGTTAGCCCTGGACTTGGGAGGAGGGGAAGGGGCAGCGGGAAGGTCAGGAGACTTACACCTCTCTCACGAAGGCATTAGCCCTTGTTAGTCCCGGAGGGGGACGGAGATCAGGATGGGCTCTGGGGTCCGGGGCCCTGGCTCTGTCTTAGACTATGAGGAACTCCTAGCCAGTTTCTCCTTCTACGCCTCAGTGTCCCTTTTCCTGTAGTCGGGGAAATGAATGATGGATAAGCCCCTCCCAAGAACCCCTCTTGAGCTGGGAGGGGAGGGAAGGTTGACACTGATGTCAGGATTCCTCTACAAGGCTGACTGTTGGGGGACAGCCTGTCTTCTGCCTGCACCCCACTCCTGCTGGGGCAGCTCCCCCTGGAAGGGCAGCTGCTCTGTGTGAGGCTGGGTCTCCTTGGCAGCAGAGGCCTGGCCCTGTCCAAGTGGCGGCTGCACACACGTGGTGGTGGGGGGCTCACCTGCTTGCTGGTCTCCTCCTCCTCCTCGTCATCATCTTGGTCATCCGTGTCTGACTCAGCCATGGCAATGGGCACGCACATGGGCTCCGGGTCCCCGGGGGTGCCCTGGCCTGGCCGCTGTCCTTCTTCAAACCGGGTCTCCTTGCGGGCTGGAGGTGCCTTCTCTGTCTCAGCGGGCGGTGGGGAGCTGGAGGTGGCAATGCAGCTGGGCAGCTGGCCATGGGGGGCGAGGGCCGCGGGCTTCGGGGGCCGCCGCTGCAGGAGTCCACAGCAGAAGTCCCAGGTGGTCCGCTTGACGAAGCGCAAGCCCCTCTGGATGCGGGCCAGGGCCAGCTGGAGGTTGTTCATCTCCCCGTCCTCGTCAGGGGCTGTGAGGTTGTCTGCGCTGAAGGAGCTGAGCAGCAAAGCCAGGAAGAGGTTCAGGACCTGTGGAGGCAAGGGGCCAGGCTCACCAGGGCAGGTGCCACACTATGGGCACACAGCCTTGGCCTTGGGGAATCTGAGGCCCAGGGGCCTGAATGACTGCCAAGCAATTCCAAGCTTGACCCCGGGGCCCTGGCCCTCATCCTAAGTCCCCATTTGGTTTGACTCCAAACCAACGGAAGAAAGGGGAGACAAAGTTTTAATTCCTCTTCCCAATCATTCAGTCCCAGGTCTCTTATGTTTTGGTCCAGGTTTGATGGGTGAACCCTGGGTTCACCTAATGTCAAAGCCTGTAGACGGGGCCTTGCTGGCTTGGGAGCAAGGAGGCAGTGAAGCCAGAGTAAGGCGGAACGCAGCCTAGAGTTTCTGCAGCGTTGCCTCTGCTCTGTTGGCAGAAAAGGGACCGTGACGTGCCTCTCAGCTCCCACGGAAGCTGGCTGTGAAGCTGTGAAGCTGAGCTCTTGCTGTGAGGCACACGCTACCTGTGTCCCCAGGTCTGACAACGCTTCCCAGCTGAGGGGCTTGGGGAACAGAGCAGAGAAGGGAGATATGGTGGGAAAAGAGGCCAGGAGGGCACAGGTAACTCTTGATAACCAGGAGTTTACTGCAGGGTTAGGCCAAGGAGAGGTGACAGTGTGTAGGGTGCATGGTGAGGGGTGCTTGGATGGGTGCCGTGTGGGACCAGCCAACCGGGAGTGGAGGGCCTGGGGCCTGGGGCCAGAGCTGGCCATTATGCTGTGGGGAGTCATGGGAGGTGCCAGAGATGTGGGACTTAATGCTTGATTCGGGGCTACAGATGAGACACCTTAAGGTGGATTTATATGACCACTCTGCCTTCAGATGGTTCTAGGCTGCTGCTTGCTGTTAAAACATCCTGTAAGCGTAAAGTTTTAGCTTCTGTTAAAAAAGAGAACTCAGCTGAGTGATGAGGGGCTGAGCTGGGGCCACTGCCCGGCCTTGAAGAGGGTGAATGAAGATGGCCCTGGGCATGATACAAACTGCGGGCCAGAGTGGCTCAGAGCTCCTCCCCGGCCAGAGGCACAGCCTTCCCAGCACCTTGGGCTTGGTGTCCTCTTCTTCCCACCCTTACCCCTAGAAGGGAGTTCAGCCGAACTCCCCGAAAGCAGGCTGGGTCAGAAGGTGGGCCCGCAGCTCTCCCTGGAAATACACTCTGAGCCCCCTGCTCTGGCTTCTCAGACTCCCACGACACGCCTGTCAGGAAGCTGACAAGAAATGGTGGGTAAGGTCAGAGCACATGCTTCAGAACATGCCACGGATTTAAAAAGTAACAGATTCATGGGGACAGAGTGGAAAGGTTAAGAGGGAGGATCTCCCCTGCTGTCTCTGTGGAATGAGGGTCACTTGGGACATCTGGAAGCCTTTTTTTGGCTATCACTGGGGTGCTGTGGGGGGGCATGTGATGTGATTCAGAGCTGATGTCTCTACTGACCCTGGCCTGGCCCCTGGTCTCTGTTCACACTGGCCCAGATCTAGCCTGTCTCTGTTCCCAGCTGCCCTCCTTAGATCCTCCCCCATAACCCTCACCCATCCTGGCCCCACATCCCCTGACCTCCAGGTATCTGGGCACCAGGCTGGGGGGCAAAACAGGAGGGTATCTGGGCACCCTCATCCACCCACACAGGACACTGGGGCCTCCCTCGTCTCCCGCCTCAGAAGTTTGGCTCCTTCCAGTGCTTTCCCCGTCAATCATGCTGCTGCTCCCCAGCCCCTGCCTGATCATCACTTCCCATTTCAATGGCAATCTTGCTTCCACCCACGCCAGGCAGCGGCCCAATTCCTGAGGCGGCAAGGGAGGGGGCCGTGTGGGCCGCGTTAGCTTCCCTCCTCCAGCAGCCTCTAATCTTCTCATCCCCAGGCAGATACGCTCGGAAATCGCAGGGCTGTGTGTGTGAGGGCAGCTCAGCCTCGCCCTGGACAGTGGAGAGCCGGGCATGCCTGCTTCCTCTCGGAACACCCAGAGCCCTGGGGCTGGGCCAGCAGCGGAGGGAGGCTCCGTCCCGAGGGGCAGCCAGTTTGAAGAGATGGGAGGGGAGCTGCCAGGCCAGCCAAGAGCTGGGTTTTGCCAGCACTGGGCACCGATGCTCTGCTTCCTTTCAGGACTCCACCTGTGTGGCCTGAGGGAGACGGATCCCAATTTGGCCTGGCTGCTCTGGTCTGGGTAAGGCACGTGGGAGGAGAAAGCAGGCAGGCTTGGGGAAGGGCTCTGGAATCTGCCGCCCACAGTACTTGTGCGCCTAAAGTCCCTCCTTGAGCTGATGTGAGCCTGTGTTGCCCACGCCAGGCCACACAGGTGTGATGTCTGAGCATGTGTGGGCCACCTGCGTACCCTTGAAGACTCATGTCCACAGTGGACACTGGCTTTTGCCTAAACCATTGACATGCCTCAACCTTAACGCTTCTGAAGTTCCCTCCTCTGGCATTTAGATTTTGGTGTTTTTCAGCTCCAGAATTCCCTATGTCGTAAAGACACACGGCAAGATGCACCTGCCTTAACACAGAGATGTGCCATGGGAGCAAAGGTCAAGGCCCCTCACAACAGGACAGCAGAGGCTCACCATACACCCAGGGTGACATGTGAGGTTCCTGAGGGTGACATGTGAGGTCCCATCTCACCTGAAACGGCACCAGCCGTCAGGTGTGGCACCTGCCTTCACCTGTGTTTTGCTCACCCTGATCTTTCCTTCCCTAACTTTACATGTCTATTAAGTCAGCGCCAAATCCTCCTCCAGGAAGCTTTCCTTGATTTCTCCAGCTGGAGGTGATCAGAAACTGCAGGATCCTCCTTAATGGCTCTGACAATTCTGACCAGTTTGAGAATCATTTCAGGCCTTTTTGAAACCCCCACCTTCCTGTTCTCTGAAGCTGGTGAGCAATGTCAGGACCATATTTACCTCTGGAGGCCCAATAGCGTCTGGTACAATATTTTATATGCAACAAGGAGTTCAGCAAATAATTGTTATGCAGAATGTGACAATTAATTCACAGTGAATGATTAGTGAAATAATGGGAAGACGAGTAAATGAATAAATTAATGAATACAGAATATAAAGAATAAACAGGAAACTACATGGGTGAATGAGTGAGCAAATGAAAAGTGATGTTAATGGATGAATAGGTCAATGAATGAGTGAGTAGATAGCCAAACAGTTAAGTGAATAGATGGAGAGCACTTGTGAATGAGTGAACTGAGAAATGGTTGATAGATGCATGTGGGGGGTGGATAAATCAGTGGAGAGGTAAATGAGTTTGTGGAAAGATGGATGATGGATGGATGGATGGATGGAAGGTCAAGTGAATAAATGGGTGGCTATATGGAGGGGCAAGTGGATGAATGTATAGAGGGTGTGTGTGTGTTTGTATGTAAGGGGGTTGATGATAGATGAATGATGGATGGGTGATGAACTGATGGAGGGTGAATGAGTGAGCAGTACATGGATAGGAGAGCTGGTAACTGAGGAGGCAGACTGATGGAGATGAGGTCAGATGGTCGGTGGTGATGGGTGGCTGAATGGCTGGATGGCTGGATGGTGAGATAGGCAGATGTAAGGAGTAGTAAAGAGATTGAAGTATGAATGGGTAAATGATTAGATGATTTGATGGGCGAGAGAGAGATGGGTGAGTGCAGAGATGGGAGAAATGAGTCCACGAATGGAGGGGGAGTTATATGGATGAAAATTGATGGTGAATGGATGGTTTGATAGATACATGGCTTGATAAATGAGTGGACAGCTAGAAGGAAGGGACAGAGAGATGACTGGGAGAGTGTGTAGTTAAGTGAATAAATGGATAGGTAGGTGAGTATGTGTGTGTGCACATACGCACATGTGTGGCCTTTGGCCAACTCACCACAAGGTTGCCAATGACCATAACCAGCAAGAAGACCAGTAAACACAGTGACTGCCCAGACACCTCCATACAGTCCCACATGGTCTCGATCCACTCGCCACAGAGGATGCGGAAGATGATGAGAAAGGCATGGAAGAAGTCCATCATGTGCCAGCGGGGCAGGAGGCCTGAGTCGCTGATGCGGTACCTCTGCTCTGAGTAGTTCTTGCCAAAGAGCTGCATGCCCACCACAGCAAAGATGAACACAATGATGGCCAGCACCAGGGTCAGGTTTCCCAGTGCCCCCACGGAGTTTCCGATGATCTTGATGAGTGTGTTCAGGGTGGGCCACGACTTGGCCAGCTTAAAGACCCGAAGCTGGAGGGCGAGGAAGAGAGAGTCTGAGGGGCCTGGTTTCCCCTCCCATGGACACTTACCCACCGCCACCCCAGCTGCTGCCTGAAAACCCCAGGAGCCCTTGAAGGTAATCGACACCTCCTTCCCAATGTCTCTAAGGGCACACACCACTGTTTCTCTCCACCCCGAAGGTGGCTGCCTCTGGTTCTGCTCTGCGAGTTAGGTGAACAGCTCCAGTCTCATCTCCCCAACTCAGCCCTATCTCTCTGACTCCACAACAGCCTCCTACCCTCCCCAGACTTGCCTCCAGGGACCTCCCAGTAGGTTCCCCTAACGTCAGTGACCTCCCAGTAGGTTTCCTTAATGTGGAATGTCCCTGCTCTACACCCTCCCACAGCAGACATCCTCCAGCCCAGCTCAAACATCTCTGACTGGCTCAGTTGCCTCCATTTTTCTTCCTCTCAGTTATCACAGAGAAAGGGAGCAGTGTTTATCATCTATTGAACACCTACTATGTGCCAGGCCTGGCTTAGGATGAACGAACTTATTCAGAACTCCCAATACCACATGAGGCCGGCACTATTATTACCTCAACTGATGGAGGAAGAAATCAACTCTTGAACATGAGTAACCATCCTGTCCTCCCAGCACCCAGTGAAGCCCCCAACAGTGCTCAGGAACTCCTCCAGGATGGCTTCCCTGACCCACCTCCAGCCCCATGACTCTTTTAGGCATTTTGAGCTTGAGGCATGGTCCCAGACCAGTAGCTTTGGCATCACCTGGGCATGTATGTTTAATAAGACCCCATGTGATCTTTGTGTGCATTCAAGAATCCAAAATGCTGATTCTAAAAGCAGCTGCCCGCAGGCCTGACTGACTCTATTTGTTACCAGCTATGTGGCTTCAGGAAATTATTTCACTTCTATGAAATGTGTGTTTCATAACACCAGGCCTACTCCTGATTCATCTGAGGACCAAAGGGATCAGGGTGAACCATAAAGCATGGCCACCCCAATTGCTCCGCTGGAGGGCTCTCTCCTGTTCTTGCCCACCTCTGCACCCCCCATATCACCAGCACTGAACCCCAGGGGACCCAGCAAACAGCAGTTGGGTGAAGGCATGGTGGTTCAGAGTAAAGTGTGACTGAGCAGTGAGCTCAGGGGAGTGTGCTCAGGGCCCCCGGCTCCCCCGCCCTCTGCCCCCTGCCCCCTTGCGTGGGCCAGCCACATACCAGGCGGAAGGAGCGAAGCACTGAGAGGTTGCCCATGCGGGACAGGCCCAGCTCCATGAGGCTAAGGGTGACGATGATGCTGTCGAAGATATTCCAGCCCTGCTGGAAGTAGTAGTAGGGGTCAAGAGCAATGATCTTGAAGGTCATCTCTGCCGTGAAGATTCCCGTGAAGACCTGGGGGGTGGGAAGCAGAAATCAGGGCTTCCTGACATTTGCATGGGAAAGACCCCTGGCCAGCAGGTCCCCCACGTAGGCTGCCAGTTCTGACCGCACTCAGGCTCCCAGTGGGTGCTTGCCCGGCCATGGCCCAGCCCCAGGACACCACCCACCTGATGGCCCTAGATCTCCTGCTGCTCACCAAGCAGGAGGCCCCAGCCTTGTCCTCAGAAATAGCTGGTCCCACTGCGGGCACTGCAGAGGAGGCCCTTGAGGCAGGGCGGCGGTGGCACAAACCAAACCCAGACTCCTTCCAGTCTAGGCTGTCACAGGAAACCCCTCACTCCACACCCACATTCCCACAGCCACTGCTGGGCCCTGTGTTCACGCTGTTCCTGCTCCCTCCGGCCCATTGCTGAAATCCTCTCATGGCTGTAACAACCAGCCACCATCCCCTGAGAGCTTGGCCAGGTGCTGAAGGCTAGGCTAGATGTTCTGTTGTTTCCGTTAATTTGCCCAGCACTGAGGAAAGTATCTTTTTCCCCATCTTACGGGTCGGGAAAGGGAGACACTGAGAGGCTGAGCAACTTGCTTGGGGTCTAGCAAGTTTGAGAATTGGGAGATAACGCAGTGCTGCCCCTCAAGATGTAGAGCAACTGCCTCAACCTTCTGGGAACATTCCTGAGGTGGGCAGAGGCTGGGCATCACCTGGTTCATTGACTCATGAGTCCTGACCCAACCAGTCTTTGCCAGTAGAGCCGTATGGTCAAGGGGCCCATGAGCAGTGGGCCAGAGGCTGTCACCACTGCCAGTTACTCTGAGGTGTGCCAATTGCTGTGACAGGAGTGTGCCCCTGAGGGCACAGCTGGAGGAGATTTGGCCTATTCTCAAGGCTTTCTTGGCCCGTGGAAGAGGGGAAGCTCTGAGGTCTTCCACTGGGGAGGTCTGAGGGCCAGGCTACAGTGCCAGGCCTATAGCAGCCATGGGGTAGGTGATGTCAGGGACAAGGCTGCGGCTGAGGCCCCTGGCAGGGGCTGGTCATCAGGAAGCACTCACCCTGTCCTTGGCACCCACCTTGAGGGCTGACAGGAGAAAAGGAGAAGCATGTCCTGGTTGCCTCATTACCAGCTCTTTCCCCCTCTGCTCAGATGAGTGAATTGGGGGGGACCAGGGACTGCTGTTAGCCAGAAGCGAGTAGTATCTCTGCACTGCCCCCAGGGCACCACCTGCCAGTCCAGCCTTCGTGACCTCAGTGCTTGTGCCGGAGGGAACCAGTCTTCCTGGGGGAGGAAGGGCCCCGGCACCAATCCTCCAAACTCAGCCTAGATTCCTGGGCTGCCCTTAAATATGAAGAGGCACCGTTGGGTTCCCAGCTGCAAGGCTGTTTCGGGTTATGCACCCACAGCCTCTCCTGCCCTCTGGCCCCAACTCCTACTCAACTGCTTCCTTGCTGTTCCCTCTTCAGGCCTCTGCACTTGCTGCTCCCTTTCTCCAGATCACCTCTCCACATCCAGGGCTCATCCCCTTGAAGTTTCTGCTTAAGAACCACTTAATGCAGGAGGCTTCCTGGCACCGAAAGAGGAGGCTCCTCCGGCCACACTCCTTATTCCTCTTCCCTGCCTTTTTTTTTTCCTTTTCCTCACATACCATCGGCCATACTGTGTGTGTGGTGTGTATATATATATATATATATAGCTGCATATTTATTAAAACTTCTCCAGCTAAACTGTCAGCTGCAGTAGGAGGGGCCTTTTTTGTCTTACTGCACTTAGAACAGTGCCCTGTCTGAGGGTGCTCTGCCAATTTTGCTACACAAATGTACAAATGGTTGGATCTTCCACCTTCAGCAACCCGAGAGCCTCTAAGGGTGGGGTTTGGGTCTCTCATTCCTTGTACCCCGGCTCTCTTGTCACCCCCAGCACCTGCCTGAGCATGCCGGGGTGGGCATTCTTAGGGTCTGCTTGACAGTTCCTCCCCTATTTCTCAGTGGCTAGATGGGCATTTATATTGATTCCAATTTTCTCCATGACTATCATGGCTGCAAAAAACATAATTATCTCTTGTTCAGACACGTAAGCTTTTCTAAAGAACATCTATCTATCTATCTATCTATCTATCTATCTATCTATCTATCTATCTATCTATCTATCTATCTATATCTATCTATCTATCTATCTGTCATCTATCTTCAGTCAGACTGTTACATTACAGGGCATGCACATCTGTGATTTACCAGATACTACACAAGCGCTCCCTGAAATGGTCACCCCAAATCCAGTCTTAACAAAGTACAGTTCCCACTGTTTCACATCTCACCCTCATGGATGAGAAATGACATCTCTATGGTGCTTTAATTCGCATGCATTTGTTTATAACCATCTGCCTTTCCCCTTCTATGATGTGCTGTCACTCGCGCCCTTTGACCGTTGTGGTTGTGTTTTTCCCAGTGTTGTCCTGCTTTTCCTTGTTGATGTGGAAGTGTCTAGATCCCATGTCTCTCCAGTTCAATACTTTCCATAATATTAATTTCCAGTTGGTGGTACTGATTTTACTTCATGTATAGTATCCTTTTTTGTTATGCATTTTAATATAGGTAAATTTATCAATCTTTTCTTTCATGGTAAAAACTTTTTGTATTGTTGAAAAGGCCTTCCCAACCTTGAGATAAGTATTTTTCCCGTTTTTATTGCAAAAAGATTAAAAATTTGGGGTATTACACCAGTGAGAATGGCACATATTAAAAAAACTAGCAACAACAAATGTTGGCGAGGATGTGGAGAAAAAGGAACTCTCCTGCACTGCTGGTGGGAGTGCAAACTGGTCCAACCACTATGGAGAGCTGTGTGGAGATTTCTAGAGCTTCCATATGATCCAGCAATTCCACTCCTAGGTATTTATCCAAAGGACAGAGAAACATCAGTTCCAAAGAGCACCTGCACCCCTATATTTATAGCAGCACTATTTACAATAGCTATGCTTTGGAAACAACCCAAATACCCAAAAATAGATGACTGGATCAAGAAGATGTGGTACATGTACACCATGGAATATTACTCAGCAATCAAAAAAGATAAACACATGCAGTTTGCAGCAACATGGATGGAGCTGGAAGGGATCATACTCAACGAAATAAGCCAGAAAGAAAAAGAAAAATACCGGATGGTCTCACTCATAGCAGGAATCTAGAAAACTTAAATAAGGGACCAGGAAAATGAATAACTATAAGAAAGTGAAAATCAAAATCAACAAACAACTATGAACCAGGACACTCTATAGGGGAGTGGGGTGCGGGGAGGGGACGGATTGGGGTCAAAATAAGGGGGTTGCAATTGTATGGGGAATATAAAAATAAAATTTATTAATAAAAAAAGGAAAAAAATAAAATTTGGGGTATTAAATCTAATTACCTTCCAACTAATTAATGAATATAGTGTGGGGTAGGGATCTAAATTTATTATATTCTGTATAGGGACCCACCCTTTCAGCATTATTTATTGAATAGACTATCCTTTTCCTATTGATTTATAATGCCATCTCTGTTATTTGTCAAGTCTCTAAAAGTGCATTTCCTAATTTTGAGTTCTCAATTTTCACCACAGGTCCATTTTGCTATGTTTGTACCAATACTATAATATTTTAATTACTATGACTTTATAATATATCTTAACACATTGCAGGATAAGTTCCCACCTTATTCCTTAATTTACCTTGATATATTTTACATTTCTACATGAATTTTAGGATTACCTTGTCAGGTCCCACAGAAAATAAAGCATGGGGATTTTAATTAGAATTATATTAAATTTCTAGGCTAAATTGGGAAGAATTCATATAGCTACCCCATTCAGACCTTCACCAGCAAAAATGGCATCTCTACTAATTTAAGTCTTCTTTTATGCTTTCAATAATTTTATGCCTTATTCACAGAAAATGGACAATCTTTTGCAGCGTTTATTCATGGATTTCTCAGTTGTTATTGCCATTGTTAGTGTTAACTTTGAAAAATTACTCTCTTCAATTGATGGTGACTAGGAAAATAACTAAGTTTGGTATATCACCCTGTAACACTGTCCAATTCTCTTATTAGATATAATAGTCTATCTTGGCTTATTTATATAGATAATAACATAATCTGGAAAATAATGTTGCATGTTATCCTTCCTTCTTCTCTTTCTTTTCTTACCAGGTTGACACAGACCTCCAGAATCCTTCAGTCTGAAAGCAGGGAGAAGGGGACAAAGCTGAGCATGCTGCAATGCAGTGCAGTTGTGGGCCAGCACATGGGCTCTAAAGCAAACTGCTGGGGTTTGAGTCCCGGCTCCACCACTTACTGGCTGTGTGACCTTGGCTTAATTATTTGACCACTCTGTGCCTCACTTCCCTTATCAGTAAAATGGGGGAAATATTATCAGCATTCCGTGTACTGGTTATATACTGACAGAAATGGGGGCTTCCACAAGCATCCGCTGTGATGCTTGCATCATTGCCACACCTTTGCATCATCGTCAGCGTTCGTTCCTGACTTTCATAGGGAGGCCACTAATGCTTCAAGGTTACGTGTGATACTTATTGCAGATTTTTCTAGTTTGCTAAGAGTTCCTACAGTGAAGAATTTCATTTTATTAAATAATTTTTCTCTGTCTAGGGAAAGGTAGGAATAAACCCAACCTGATCATGAGGAGTTGTTTTTTTTAATTTGTTTGATTTTTCTTAATTACACACTGCTGGGTTTGGTTTGGTTTATTTTTTTCTCTTTCTGATCTTAAATCTCTTTTTAGTAATTCATATTTTTCTAAGAAAATTTTCACTTAGTCTGTTCAAAATTTACTGGTATCATCTTTATCCAACAGTTCAGTTATATGACATTCTTAAGAGGATTAAGTCTCTGTGTGTGTGTGTTTGTGTGTGTATGTGCCTATGCTCGTGCATGTGCTGGCTCTTGCTTATTGTGAACTATTTCCCTGTATTCTTTGTAATTTGGGGAATCCAGCTTGGCCTGAGTTAAGTGTGTTCTTTCAGAGAAGTTTTATGTTTGCTTCTTTCAGGAGGCCCCCCAATGTCATCCCAGAATCATCTTATGTGTTAATTTTCAAGGCAGACTTTCTAGGAATATTCAGGTTCAAATTTGAACTGCAAATCTGTTGAGGCCAAATTCATAGTTATAAGCTTCCAGAGGTTACATTACCCTCCATTTCTAGTCCTGGCTGGGACCACCGAGCTTCCTCCTTATCATATTCCAGCATCAGTGTGTGGGCTTTTCCTGTTACATTTTGCTGAATGGAGGGTCACAGTAAAGGGTTACTGAGTTTCAAGCTGTACTCACTCTGTCCCAAAGACATACATTGCTTCTCCGTGTTCACTAAAAGCCAAGCCCCTCATATTATCCAAGTCAGCAGCCTCCCTTTCCCTCCAGGGCCACTGCAGAACCACCCTATGTGTTTCCTGCCATGATTAAAAAATTTTTTACTTATTTATGCACAGAAGAACTGGGGTGTAGGCCAGAGGTGTGGGTGTGTAGGGGTGAGAGGATTCTAGAGACAGAGTGGGGAGCAACACAGGTGCATCTACTGAAACACACTGCTGAAGGGAGCAGCGGGCGAGACAGGAGAGGTCTGCTGCACCATATAAGTGTTAGCTCCCTCTCGGGGGATTGAACTTAGGCTGTAGCAGTGATAGCTTGATAGCACTGAGACTTAACCCCTACAAACAAGGAGGCCCCTACTGCCAAGACTTAAAAGTCTCTCTTTGTTTTTGGCACTTGGGGATTTTGTTTCTTCTACTGAACTTTGCTATGCATTTCAAACAATGTTTTGCTGTATTTTCAATTGTTTTCCTAGTTGGAGACTTTTCCAGCTTTCTTATCCACACTACTGCCAGGAACAGCATGGGCCAATCACCTTTGTTTATATGATGGAATAAAAGTTGGTTAAATCTCTGGATCTTTTATGGAATTTGTCTTTTGTCACTAAAGACATCTAGAATCCATTAATTGCAAGGCAATCAAAACCTTGCATACTAGCAATAAAGCTATCCAAACAGAACAAATAGCTATAATCCAACTGCATGGCCTATTATTAATAACGCAACCACAGGTTCAACGCAGCTGCAATTAATCACAACTTAATGATGCACGAAAGCCCCCAGGGCTCTTCATCGCCTGCACTTGCTGCTCAGTCCAGCCTAATGGTCACACTATAATAGAAGCACACCCAACTGAAAGCCTGCAGAACCACCATCTGAAGATCACCCAACACAGGCAGGCACAAACTGTACCATGAGACTCCTACAGACAGAATTATAGCTTTCCCTTCTGTTTGCATATAGAAGAAGACAGAAAGAAAAGAAGAATTACAGCAAAAAGGACTTATATTTGTGAGAAAATTTGAATAGATCCTATAAAGAACTATCTGGAGTTCTAGATATGGAAAGTAATATGGGAAAAGAATCTTCACATCCCACAGTGTGGGAGACCTGCCTGCCTATGCAGCTGAGACCAAGAAAGGGCTAAATCTGCAGTAAGAGAAAGCTTGGGCCAGATGACCTCCTCCCTCCACACAAACTCAGGAGCTCCTTTTGGAGGCCATGGGCTGTCTGCCAGCCTTGCCCTGGGGTCACCTGGAGAAGGGCTGACTCTGTGTTTACCTGAACAGAACCGATACAGGCCTGTCCCTAAGAGTCAGGATACAGTAGCTACATGCCCACCTCTGTCACCTTTTGCGCCTCAGCTTTCCATTTTTTATAGTAAAGAAGTAGGGCTTGATTTGACCGCAAGGGAAAAAAAATCAGAGTTAGAACCTAGACATTCTGGCTTCCAGGGCCTATCTCTTTAATAACAACAACAGTAACAACCACGGCTATCATTTATTTTGAACGCTTGTTTATCAAACTCTGAGCCAAGCACATTACCCACATTATCTTATTCCAGCCTCATTAGTTTCCTACGAGGCTGATATTGTCATACTAATTTTACATTTATTAAATTCAACAAATACTCATTGTGCCAATTACTGAGACTAAGTAATTTATTTGAGGTCACACAGTTAGTAGGAGATGAGTCAGAATTCAAATCTGGCTCTGCCCAATTTACTTACGCCATCCATCCATCCATCCATCCATCCATCCCTCCATCCATCCCTCTATCCCTCCCTCCCTCCATCCATCCACCCATCCACCTACCCACCCGCCCATCTACCTAGCCACTCCCCCACCCATCTTTCCATTTATCTTCCTTCTGATCATCCATTCATCCTCCATTCCCTCCATCCAACCATCCACCTATCCTTTCCCCCATTCAGCAAACAGTGACACGCGTCTCTACACGCTCTGTCTAGGACAGAACTGCCTCTTTCTGCACACGCTTCCCTCCTCCATCTACTGATTCCAAAATCTCATGTCCCCACATATTTCAGGTTCATCCCAACTCATTTTGGTTTTCTAGGTCTGGGTCAACCTCTTATTCCCGATGACATCTCTCAGCTCCTTAAAAGTCAATCCTGAGACTCCTGCCTCTGAGAAACCTTCCACAATGACTCTCACTTCAGAAGAGCCTTTTGAGCTCTGGGTCCCTCCTCCCTTCCCCATGAAGGCTGTAACAGCTGGTTGAGAGCCCTTTCTACCAGGATGCCCATTTGAAAGTCAGCTGCTGGTGCCTCTTACCAGGTTTCCGACCTGAAGCATCTCCTCAAACTCAGCCGTCATGTTGTAGTGCTCCAGGGCCATGAAGAGCGTGTTGAGCACGATGCACATGGTGATGGTGAGGTCAGCGAATGGGTCCATGACCATGAATTTCACTCTCTGCTTGATAGACATCCACAGTGGGCAGCACTCCCAGATCAGGTAGCGCTGGGCGAAGCGGTTCCAACATGGTGGACACTTGCGATGAGACTCCTCCAGCTCTGAGGGGACAGTCAGTGAGCTAGTTTGTTTTAGTTGACTGACTTATATAGAACTTGTGGTGTTCCAGAAAAGATGGCTGCCTTACCTGACAGGCTGCTACCTGAGAGGGAGGGGCAGGGAAGATTAGGGGAAGGGGTGTCCTACTGTATTCTTATAGGGCTCCTTAACTTGGAAGTATGGGAGAAGAAGACCACGGGGGCAGGAGATCAGCATGGATGTGGGAAAAGCTGGGACAGGATAAACTAGGCCAGATGTCCTAATCTCTTGAGACAATAGCCCCACATGGACATGGGGATACTCAGGAAAGGACAGGTTGAAAAGGATGGGACAACATCTGGTGCAGGCAGGTTCTGGTATAAGGAAACCCAGGACAGAACAGGATAGATGTGGACATCTGGGATGGGTTAGGAGAGATGGGGGCATGCTGGAAAAGAGGTTAATAGATGTGGAACAGGGGGAATAAGATGGGGGTGTGCAAAGCTCAGACTGGAATGAATGTGGGGGTTGCCTAAAGAGGAATTGACTGGGACAGATTGTAGGATGCTGGAACAGTGTGAGACGGACGTGGGAATGGCTGTGAATCCGCCAGAATAGGCAGGATTAGGACAGGATGATCCCAGGAGAACAAAACAATGCTGGGGAGAGGACAGGATAAGACAGCTAAGCACTTGCAGACAGGCAGGACAGCTGTGGGACTGTTCGGGAGAAACACAGGCCTGGCTCCTGAGGATGTCCAGGAAAGAATGAGCGGAAACGGATAAAAGGACATAGAGGAGAGGATACAGACTGAACAGTTTGGCTCAGCTGTGGGAATGTCCAAGGCAGTCCAAGCAGATGGGGGCTGCCTGGCTCGGGGCAGGATCACAGTGAGGGTGTTTAGACCAGAAGAGGGGAGTGTTTGGACGATTCCACGGTGCTGACCTTCCAGCGCGCTGGTGAGGACGCTGACGGCGCTGAGGGCCCGCTGCCGCTCCCCTGGCTCCTCGAAGCCATCCACGCCTGGGGCCTGAGGGGTCAGCATCTGGGGCCTGCCTGGCTCCTCTGACGGTGTGGTCTGGGTGCAAGCAAGAGGAACGCGTCAGCCTGGCGGTGGAGTCCTGGACCTGAAGCAGCAGCTGGAACTGGGACAGCTGGCACAGATCAGGTTGGGGACCTCGCAGGGGGGAAGGGTGGGGGCCTTGATGGGCACTGGGACTTCTCTGCTCCCAACCTCCCCACTAAAAAACTCCCCCACTCCTCACACCAATCGTCTTCCTCGTTCTCGTCTTCCTCTCTACTTCCAATCCGTGGTGATTCTTGAATGTGGACAGGAAGCTACATGTACTAAGGTCTGTTAACCCACTGCTGTCATAACCTTAGTGCCTGCAAAAGTGATCTGGGGGAGTCTCAACTGACCACAAGTGCCTGGAGTCGAGAGCATAAAGAAATTGAAAAACATCTACCACATTCTAAGGTGACATTAATAGAAGCATAAAGGACAATGCTTAGACATAGTTGATAGGAGTTTGGTTACATCTATCAAGAAAACTTTAAAATTGGCTCTGCAATGCCTCAACTAATAATCTAACTTCACAAATAATTATGCACATGCACCAAAAACAAGCATGCAATATGCTGATACCAAAAAAAACCCCCAAACAACTAATCAATAGGAAGAATATCAAAATCAATTGTGAACAGAACCTGATTCTGGACTCTGATAGGAACACTAAAGAGAATGAGGTTGTGCCACGTGTGTTCTCATGGGAACACCTGCAAGACAACCAGTTTGATGAAAAATAACATCTAGAAGATACATGCTGAATTGTTACAGGGGATATATCTGGGTGATGGAATTGTGGAAGTTCCATTTTCATTTTAGGTGCTGCTGCACTGCTGGATTTGCAGTGAAAGAGAAGTTCCCCTTTCACTTTAGGTACTGCTGCACTGCTGGATTTGCTTCCAATGGGTTAGCACCATGTTTGTAGGTAGAAGAACCAGGCCTGCAAATGGAGATGTGACAAGTTCTGATGAAGGAAGGTGGCAGAGGGCATTCTCGAGGCTTACCTGAGTCCCTCACCCCCCCTTAAGAACCAAGGAGGAACCACGAAGGTTTCTTATCAGCATGGCCCACATGAGCACCGCCCAGGAGCCTGAGCTGGGGCTGCTGAAGACACCAGGCTGCTCAGCATACAACAGCAACGCTCCATGGTCTCCGTAGGGCAGAGGGCAGAGGGACTGAGGCTTTGCAGGGTGGCAGAGCCAGGGCCTGGGGTGGATACCAAATCTATCTGAGTTCAAGTTAAGGTCAACCTTCTCAATTGGTTGGACTGCCCTGATATGTTGCCTAGGGAGGTAGTGAGCTCCCAGGCATGGAAGAATTCAAGCAGAGGCAGCTGTGAGGGCTGAGGTGGCCGGTGTAACGGTAGTAATAACAGTGACAAACCTGCCGGCTTAACTCACAAGTATGTCTTAAATACTTCCAACTTCTCTCCTTTACCATCTGTGCATTTGGGTTGCTATCATTTAGCAAATATTTACTCTTTCCCCTGCCACAGGGGTGAAGTGAATTTCCCTGTCCTGGGGCCTCCCTGGTGCCACAAGGGCTTAAGACACAGCACTATGAAGCTATCCGCAGCCACTGCAGCACAAGTTTGATCCCTGGCCAGGGAGCTGACCCACATGACGCAGCAGACCTCTCCTGTCTCCCCGCTGCTCCCCTCAGCAGTGTATTTCAGTCAGTCTGCCTGTTCTGTTTTCTGCTCCGTCTCTGCTAGATCCTCTCACCCCCCACACCTCTGGCTTATACCCCAGTTCTTGTATGCGTAAATAAATAAATCTAAAAAGAATTTCCCTGTCCCGCTGATGACACACTTGCTTTGCTCAATGGAACGCTAGCAGACGCGATGTGAACGGAGATGTGTTTGTACTGTTGGCCTTGTTCTTGTGCTCCAGTCGTCCTCCAGGGAAAGAACTTCCCCAGCTCGCTGCCACCCTTGGCCCTGGGGCTCAGAACAAAGACACAGCCTGGAGCTGAGCCCACATGCAGCTTGAAGCAGAGCGGCCCGGACAAGTCTGACCCAAACAGCCAAACCACAGGCAACCTGCAGAGGGAGTGTGAGAAGAAAGGCTGGCTGCTCGCCATTGACTTTTGGGGTAGTTTGTTGCACGGCATCATTGTGGCACCAGCCAACTGATACATGATCCCAGAGCAAGTCATCAACATCTCGTCCCTAGAATGGCTGTGACAGCATCGTAACTGGCCTCTTCTCTTCCCTCTGCTCTCTACACAGCCGGAAGGGACTCCCTTAAGAAGAAAATGAGATCATGAAAATTCTCTGATCAATTCCTCCTGCTCTACTGCTCCCCCTCTTACTCGGAGTAACTTTTCAGTTGCCTACAAGGCCCTGCGTATTTCACGCCTTAAGTTATCAAACTCCTTTGATAGAGCTTCCTGTTTGCACAATACCCGCCTGGCTCAGCCTTCTCTTCTCTTGAACATGTCAAGCCTATTCCTCTTCGCACATGCTGTTTCCTCTAAAACTCCGTTCTTTCACATCTTCATGGTTGGCTCCCTAAAATAACTTGCCTGTTGATTTTAACATCACCTCCTCAAGAACAATATCCCAAGTATTCCACTGAAGAGCTGCCTTCCCCAGCACCTCTCTATCACCCAGGATATTGGTCAGGTCACGGTCCATCTTCCTGGCTGTAAATGCCACGAGGACAGAGCTCTTGTGTGTTTTTATCACTGCTGTCACCCTGGAGCCTCAAATACTGCCATGTACCCAACACAGTGGGCTGGCACTAGATAAATATTGGTGAGAATCAGGGAGTTTGTGTTAGAGAACTAGCTCTGCCCCTAACTTGCTATAAGACCAGGGGACATGAGGATGAAAACTTAGGCTATGGGGGAGAAGAATGTCTATGCGCTTTGCCTCCAACCTCATCTGGGACCAGCGCCTCATACAGGCCGCGGACAAAGGAAATAGGCTCTTCCATCTGGATAAATTAAACACAAGCTGCGTATTGCGCCAGTCCCGTCCCCTGCCTGCTGATTAAGCGCCACTATGTGCCTGACACTGTGCTGTTTCCAGACTGGACAGGGCAGAAACATCTCCCTGGGGAGCGAGAGGAAGCAGGGATGGCATTCCCAGGGGCCGACGGCCTGCTAATCTCTTTAACTTTTCAAATGTCTCCATCTTGGTCAGCTAATTCCTTTAACTCTGCAAATGATCCCCTTGGCCTATTAATCCCTTTAAAGTTACAAATGGGCCCCACAGCGGTGAGAGTGGGTGAAGTCAGAGTTCCCAGTAATGAGGTGTTTGAACTTGGATTCCTCCCGACATGTGCAGCACAATGAGATGATTTTCTCCCCAATGAGATTAGGAAATTTGATTAGCATTCTGGGCTGCTGACCTGATTCCACAAGGCCAGCGCTCCAGGGCTGGCCCTGTAGGGGGCTCCGGAAGTGTCCATTCAGTGCTCCTGGGAGGCCAGACATCCACCTCCAAGTGATGCCCGGGGCCCCCCAGACCTGCCCAGAAGCTATGCCTTGTCCCCGCTGGGTCTCCAGGGCCCTATCTGCTCCAGAGGAACACGAGGGCCCCGGGCACCCCCAGTGTGCCAAGCAGTTTTGACTCCTGTGCACCAGTAACCGTAATACATAATAATGATTACCCGAACACGAGGAAAGTACTGGTCTCAGCACCAGTTCTTTTAGTCATCACAACCTGCTGACGGGATGTTAACTTTATTTCCACTTTACAGATGTGGAAATTGAGGCACAAAGTCCCACAGCTAGAATAAATGTCCGAGGAGAAAAACAGGCCATTTGCTGACCAGCCTCCACTTCATCTACCTCAAAATGTCTTCCCCTGACTCCTTGTAGGCCTTGACGTCTGAGCCACATGATCACCCTTTTCCTGGGTGAGCAGCTCAGGACACTGCATTGGGAAGTAGGGGTCAGCAAGGATACCGGATGCCCAATGGGGCACTCGACGTCTGTCACGATGAGCCCAGAGCTCTGACTGCCCTTTCATATGTCACCCTACTACCTTTCCACAATCATTCCAACTCATCTGCCCCTTGCCCTGTGTTCTGGCCACACTGACCACATGGCATTTCCTCTAATAGGCGAGATACACTTCTGCCTCAGGGCCTTTGAACATGCTTGTCCAGGTAATATAATGGTGGTATGTGCTTAGGCTGTTACTGCCACATCAACATACTCATGTCTTGATTGCTTTACCTGTGTTGGCACACTAATCCTCCCAACAATCCTTGTACAGATGACAGCCTGAGGCACAGAAAACAAAGTAACTTGCTCACAGTTATGTGCTGGTGAGCTAGCAACTGGAATTCAAACCCACTTGGTGTCCAGAATCTAGGTGCTAAGTCTTTGTCTCTATTCCCCCTCAGTTTCAGAAAGCAGCCTGGTCCCTACCCTTGCTTCCTTCTAGTCTTTGTTCAGATGCCTCCTAAGGAGTAGGGGTTCCTTCTCCCCCTTTTTGGCTTTTGTCTTCCCCTGGCACTTAGGACTTGGCCGAATACTGAATTACCAGCTTGTAAAATCCTGAAATATTTCAAACTTGGTGAGTAATTGTTGCTGAGAACATTGTTAAGTGTCCCCTTACCACCCCACCTCAGTCCTTCTCCCAGGACCCTCTGAATTGCTCAGGATCAAGCAACTCAACAGGGCTAACCCCTGGTACCCACAGGGCCTCCAGGGCACTGGTCCTGTGCCACCTGGCATCGCTGTGCCCAGGCCTTACTAGGTGCTGTACACTTAACCATCTCCCCTGCTTATCACCATTCCATACCATATGCACACATGTGCCTATTTTTCTTCTTTCTTTGATTTTTCAATGTTTGCCCCATTGCTAGAAGTTCTCTCTTTTTAAAATTTTTAAAATTTTTTTAGCTAGAAGTTCTCTGACAGCAGAGCTTTTAGGCTTATTCACCCCCAGAGCCCAGCACACAATAGGTGCTCAATGAATTCAGGACCTGGCACTGGGGACCAGTTTGACCAGATCTTCCCTGTTGCTACATGGAGGGGCTGGCTCACCGTGTCTGGGGGGCGCTCCAGCATCATCGGGCGGAGGAGGCGGCTCCCTAGGGAGGTGGCCTCAGGGTCGCCCGTCCCCAACAAGGAGACCACCCCGTTGCAGTCCACGGTGCTGTTCCTTTTGCCATTGAGGGCATGGCCAGGAGCCGAGGTCCCGGGGCTGAGCTGTCCTTGGGCACTGGGCCGGCGCAGGGGCCAGGGCACCAGCAGTGATGTGCGGTGGCTCTCGCTGTCCCCCGCCGTGCTATTTTCATCATCAGCAAAATCCGTCTCGGAACCTAGGTCTCGTCGGCGAAATGTGAAAATGCTCCCGCGGCTGGAGCGTGGCTTCATTGAGGTTCTGCTGAGGCCGTGGGTGAGGCCAAGATGATTCTGTGGGCACGTGGAGAACGGACATGACCAAGCCGGTTCTTCATGAGCTCCCAGCCTACCTCCCGTGGCACTGGCCCCAGCTCAGCTTCTCAGAGTGGTGCGGGCCTCGGCCAGAACTGGGCGGGCTGAGCCTCGGTAGTGAGGGGAGAGGTGCAGGGCAAGAAGCCACCCTGTATCCTCTGGGATTGCCCTCACTTGAAGCCTCTGAGTGGGGGAAGGACACAGGAAGGCTGGGAGCAGACAGTCCTGGTCTGGAGGCTGTCAGCCATGGCCCTCGCTCATCCCAGCAAGCCCACAGGCTGTCCCCAGGCCCAGCCCTGATGCTGGGACTTAGCTGAGGATGGGATATCATAACTCTCCATTCCTCGGCCCAGGGATCCTCCACTCCAAGAACGGCCATGGGGGAAGAGGAAAAACTGGGAGGGGGATGAAGAATGCTCTCCTTGGGGAGCAGCTGCGGACTGTGACTGTACCCACACGCTGGCCTCAGAGCTGGGGATTACCATTGCCCGGGGGCCATCCTCTGAGTCGGACTTGGGGAACCTCTCATCCCCACACTCTTCTGTCCCTGAAGACATTCGTTTTCTCCTTTTGCTTCTTCTTTCGTGGGTGATTACTGGGGCCAAAGGGGACATCTCCAAGGAGCTGCGTGACACAGTGTCCACACCCCTGATGGTGAGAGCCTGGAAAAGGATGGGAGAGAGATGTCTTGGTCATTGAGAGTGGCCAGTCTCAGGCTAAGGCAGGCCTGGCAACTGTGTCTCGATTTTCTCCATCAGTAAACAGACTTGCATGCTTACCCCCAGACAAGGGCATCACGGAGAGATGAGTTCAGACAGACCCAGATGTTCTGAGAAAGACTAAGATCCAGGGAGGAAGAGAGTGGGGGCTGAGTTGGCAGCTCTTGGAAGAGTGGAGTGTGGGGGACAGGTGGGAGGTTAACTGTGATGGTGGATGAACAGAGGAAGTGACAGAACTAGGGGGCAAGGAATCTTCTTGAAGGTTCAGGTGACAAAAATGGGCCCTGGGGGAGGTGGCACAGGCACTGCGAAGAAAGTGGATGTCCACAGTCTGGCTTCTCGTGGGCTTGCTCTGTAGTTAGCCTCCAGCGCCCAGCTGTGGAACTGTGGGCAGCAGGGCAGAGCTTACCTATTGAGCCGGCTCAGGCCTCTCACCTCAGACCTTCCTCACTACCCCGACAGAAGGCATCCCTTGACTAGGGTACATTTGGCCTGTGATTGTACTACACGCAGGAACCACCTTTACCCAACAGGCAAGATCTTTACCTAGTAGGCCTCTTACAAACAGGTACTGTCTTCACTCAGCAGGTATCAATTTTTACTGAACAGACACCACATTCACAGGGAATACTCTAACCAGCACCAGCTTTACCCAGCATGCAGCACATTTCTAAGCACCAGCTTTTCCCAGCATGCACCCTGCTTACAGGCACAGCTTTACCTAGCAGGCACCATGTTTATAAGCCCCCACAGCCAGGTGAGGCTCTTTGGTTGCACTGCTCACCCACCTCATGCTCTTTCTTGAGCATCTCCATGGCTTCTTGGAAGCGCTTCTCCTTCTCCTCAGTCTCTGCAATGGTGGCTTGGTTTTGTTCTTCATAGGCCATGGCAACCACAGCCAGGATCAGGTTCACCAGGTAGAAGGAGCCCAGGAAGATGACAAGCATGAAGAAAATCATGTAGATCTTCCCTGCAGACCTCAGAGTCTGGGGGAACAAGGGGGAAAAGGTCATCTTCACTGGGGTCCCTTCTGGGTCATGGTCATGGATTTTCAGTTGCCCAGTCTGGCTGTGCCAGGGATTCACATAGCCACAGCCTGGGGAGGGTAGAGCAAGCATATCCCTACAGAGAAGTGTCCTGCCAAGAGAGGGACTCAGCATGTCCCTGTCCACAGGGGCGAGCTGCCGTCAGAGAGGGGACTATTCTGTAGCATGGGGGACAAGAAGCGTCCTGCTCACAGAGCACAGTGTTTTATATAAAGGGGTGGGTACTTGGCTACCAGCACAAGTACCCACAGAGGCTATGGTGTCTATCCCCAGTTCCCTGTTCCTCCTCAGCTCTTGCCAGCGGAAAAACTGCTGGGGCCATTTCTGGTTAGTTTTTGCAACCTGGGCCCTGGTGTAGGGGGTCCTGAGCCCCTTCCCAGTACCCCACTGCGGGCTAGGGCACCCACGCACCTGCTGGTAGAGGCGCTCCCAGCAGTCCTGCGTCATCAGGCGGAAGAGGGCGAGGAAGGCCCAGGCGAAGGAGTCGAAGCTGGTATAGCCATGGTCAGGGTTCTTGCCGGCCTTTAGGCATCGGTAGCCCTCGGGACATGTCCTGAGGCCAGACATGAAAATCTTTTCCTATGTGGGGTTCTCTGCTCCTGAGACCCTCACTGGTCAGCCCAGTGTGTGCCCTGTGACTTCACCACGTTGAGCTCCACACACCTAGCGCCACACTCCTGGTTCCCACCTCCAAGGCTTTCACCTGGGACACCCTCCGCCCCTTTCTCCACCCGTCTGTATTCTGAAGGTCTGAATTCAGCTCCCCGTGCCCACATGACACACCGTCCCAGCTGCTGTCTGAGTTGCCTCTCCCTTCACAGAGGAAGCACCCAGGGCCTGGCTCACTTTCTTCCTCTGCCTACTTCTCCCAAGGGGAGTCGAGCTTAGAGCAGGAAGGCAGGGAGGGCAGTGAGGCTTGGCTGAGCTGAATAGGATGGTGCTCAAGGTGAAGGCTGAGCCAAGGGGCTTGGAGGATGCTTGTGGGGTGGGTGGGCGGGGGCTAGTTGTGTCTGTAGAACATGCCCATTTGTCTGACTGCACTCAGGCACAGTGAGACGGAGCCATTTACTGAGCAGGAGGGGACAGCCACCCTTCCAAAGAGCAAGTGCTTGCTAGACTCATGGTGTGCACAAAATATTGACAGTGAGAGAGTGAGAGTGAGAGCGAGAGGCCTTTGTGCCTTGTTAATATCATAAGACCTTCTAGACAATCTCTTTAGTGACAGGAGTGGCTCTGGTGCTCAGAGATTTGGGACTGTAACTCCACGGAGTACACAGGTGAGACTGTGTGCCCCACCCACTAAGAACCTCGGGCAGTCACTGACTCAGACCTTGGGGTGCAGAAGCTGTACATGGTTACTGGGCATCTCTGGGTACCATATTCAGACTGCAGGTCCAGGCCCTCCTTGCTCTGGAGGAGACTCTAGGCTGCTGGAAGGGGATGTATCCTCAGTTTTACTGTTAGGGAGGCCTATAGGACTTCCTGGGCTTACCCCCAGCCTCACACCACCTGCAGACCTGAATCAATCCTCTCTTCAACCTTTAGCAGTATCTCCCCTGTGGTGGGGGTGGGGCAGGGAAGCTGCCAGGGGCAAGGGAGGCAGGAGGAGAACTCATGGTCCCTGGAGTCAAGGGTATAACTGAAAGTACAGGAGAGTCCCTGGTGGGATGAGATGGCCGTGGGGGGTGGGCACTACATACCCGGCATCGGAGCTGTTTCCACATAGTAAGACATCTGTGGTGCCATTCTTGATCAGGTAATTTTCTGGGGGAGAAACATTGGATGGTGAGAGGCATGTGTGGCCTGGGGGCTCCTGGGGTTGCCACTTTACACACAGAACTTTGGGGAAGTCCACTAGTGGGCTAGTGTCCCCCACATTCTTGGAAGACACAGGAAGCCCTTAGCTGTCCCCATAGTGAACTTCTGCATCCTGCTCCTACCACTCAGGAGGGCAACCAGGGTTAAGAGAGGCCCCGGACTAGGAAACAGGGGTCTGGGAAGAATTCCAGCTTAGCGCCGAGTCATCCATCATATAGCCTTGCCAGATGACTCCCCACCTCTGACCCACTTCCTGTGGATAAGGCGGTAGGATGGATGCCTGGCACACTCCCCATGGCCATACTTTGGTCTGTTCAGATAGGGTTGGGGCTCAACTCGATGAGACACCCAATCCTGTCCCCTTCTTTCAGTGGCCTTCTGCCAGTCCCTGTCAGTTACCACCACCTGTCTTGGTCAGAAGCAGCACTTCTCAACGGCAGACCAGCAGCATCAAGTATCAACTGGGAACTGGCGAGACTTTCTAAGCGTCACCCCAGATCTACTGACTCAGAAACTCTTGAAGTGGGGCCCATCAGTCTGTGTTTTCCAGAGCCTTCCAGAGGACTCTGGTGCATACTGATGTTTTAAAACCACTGCTATTGGCCACAATCAAACCATTAGCAAATGTCCTCATTTTCAGATTTCCTCAAATTTCTAGATTTCTACTTCCTAAGTGGATTGCTGGTGTGTGATAGAGGCCCTAACTTTACACTGGCCTTTAGGACTCTTGTGGCCTGGCATCTAGCCCTGCATTAGCATCTATTTTTGGTCCAGGTCAATGGACTAGTTAAAGAGCTACTGGTCATCAGCCTGGAGAATGGAAGTACAATCCATGGGCAGTGAAAGAGGGACTCATGTGTCTTTGTACAATCAACAAGTTTGTTCTTACCCTCTCCTGGCAAGGAACACTGAAGTCAATTGAAACATCCCAGGCCAAGCAGGTGTGGCTTCCACTCTAAGCCTCACAAACTACCCAGCTCCATGGCACATTCTTCCCGAACTAACATGCCTCCCTCTGCAGGCAGTCCCGCTGCCTCACCACACCCGACGCTCTTGGGTAAGTCCCAGCTCCAAACATTGCAGTGCTGTTCCGGTCTGCTTTTCCAACTAACTCCATCTTTCCTGTTCTTCTAGTGTCATCACCCCTTCAAGTCCAAGAACTCATGAGGACAGGTCCTAAGTGTGCTAATCATATGACCTGTCTCATGGCGGCCCCAAAGGTGGTGACCGGGATCCCTGAGCACACAGCTGGGCCCCCAGAGGCTCAGGTGGGGCTTGAATGCTGTGGAGGGACGCCAGCCCTTCGGCGAAGCCTGTGTGGGAGGCGCCTCACCTATGGAGGGAGCACAAACTTGTACCTGGACCACATTGTAAGTCTGTACCTGAGTTGTTGAGGTAGTCTTCCAGTGATGGCCAGACCACACTGTCAGCCTCCACGGAGCCGTTGGTGTCGTTGAGTATCGTGAAGTTGCGCACGCACTTGTGCCTGAGGTTGCCCATGAAGAGCTGCAGGCCGATGAGGGCGAAGACGCTGAGGCAGAAGACCGTGAGGACCATCACGTCGGCCAGCTTCTTCACAGACTGAATGAGGGCCCCCACAATGGTCTTCAGGCCTGGGGGAGGTGAGAAGGAGCATGGGGTCACCCTATCCGAGACAGGTCCTGTGTTCCCCGCTCCACTGGGCAGGGATTTGGGCAGGAGGGGGTGCTGAGTCTCATGGGTAACCACAAGATGACCTGTCTTGTGCTTTTAGACCCAAATTCCCTAGCTGATGAGATTCTGTCCTGGGGGACAGAAGTCCCATGTGGTTCGAGTATTGTCAGAGGGGCTTAATCCTCTGTTCTTCAGTAGCCAAATACAGGAAATGGGTGTGGAAAATGCCAACCAAAGTCTGTCCCCTGCTGGCTGGTCTCAGGTATGCAAGGCCTGCCCAGTTAAATGTCACCCACAGAAGGTCAGTTGCAGTCCAGAGCATCAGAGGGGCCTCAGCTTGATCCAAGATGGGGAGATGCTCTTGGTAGGGGGACACAGTACATGTGGTAGGGGGCTGAGGGGGGAGGTGTGGCAAAGCCATTGGGGGGTCATGTCCTACGCTCCCACCTTTTGGGAAGGTTCAGGTCAGGAGGGGATGGGATGACCCACATGGCATTTTCTCCTTTGCCTTATCCTCCTGGGACCCATTCCCATCCATCCCATTCCCCAAAGCTGAGATGCCGTGATCTGTTAGTTGCACGACCCAGTTCCCTGCAGAAGCCAGCACCACACAGCGAGTGACAGAAAAGCACGTGTAGACATATTTGGTCTGACACTTAGCCACTGTCCTACGACAAGTTTGAGCAGAGCGTGGGGAGCAAGGGAGCTTCTCTGCCAGCAGCAGGGCCCTGCCCCCATCCCACCCGCCCTCGCCACCCCCCCACTGAAGCGGCCAGATCTCAGATTAAGCTCCATCCATTCATAGTCCAGCTGGTTAATGTGTTAGGAGCACCCGTGGCTACTGTGCCCAAGGCTGCTGTGCCCCTGACCCAGAGACAGGCAGGCAGCAAGGGGCAAACGCGTGGGGAAGCTGTCCCCACAGTGCCACTAACGCTTCAGCCTGCCCAGGGCTCAGGGGCAGTCAGCGTTCTCTGTGGAAATTGTCCTGGCAGATGTTGGCAACTGCCTGGGCTGTGGGTGGAGCTTGCAGGGGTGTGGGCCCAGAGCCGTGCTGGCGGTGGGATTTGCAAGTCCTTTGTTGTCCGAATGCATCAGCTCCAGTGAGTTCCACACTACCTTGGTGGGCACACTTTAGTTCTGCTCACTGCGCCCAGAGCCCCTGCCCTCCCATGAGGGGGTGGGGACACAAAGCAAGGCCATGGGCAGCAGCTCAAATACCCAAATTGGACTCTGCTTTAATTGTCACTCTACAGTATCTTTGGCCTAAAGCATTGGGTTTGAGGCCAGCAACGCATTTCCTGGTCTGTGACAATAGCCATGTCTGTGGGGAAATATCAGCTGGTGAGCACAGATTTACTCTTTTAAGGTTTCACATACTGATGACAGAGTCCACTTATGGCAAGGAAGTAATGGGATTCTTTCTGAAAAGACCCAGGAAAGGATGAACGAGGGGGAGGTCAACTGGGAAATTCTGCCACTGAAGCTCTAAGAGACTGGACAAAGAGCTCTTGGAACCAATCATTTCTCTCTCATTCCCTTGGTATGACAAAGGAGACTGAGGTCTGCAGAGTGCCAAGGCTATTTAAGACGCAGCTCAGGGGACACCTCTTCGAGGAAGCCTTCGATTACGCTGACTATGGCCTTTTCCTAATGGCCACTTTCAGGGCCTGCTGTCTGTTGCCTCATTGGGTTGCTGGCAGCTTGAGGAGACCCAGAGGAGTTGGATCCAGAGGTTGGTGATCTTTCTTCTCTTCTCCAGAACTGAGAAATATTTTCCTTTGCCGGCCTTTCTTATAGAACAGGCTAGAACATGGTTTTTTTTCACTGATCTGGTCAGTGTGCTTATTTACTCTGGTGGGGAGGGCGGTACTCCAGGGGAGTGACTTGGGGGCAGATTGCTCACTGGCTTCTTGCAGGGGTTGGGGTTACTCAAGTGTGCATAGGGTGGCCCCTGTGGACTTCCCATGGTAGGTTCAGATTCCAAAAGGAACTGCTGGCTCACAGCATCAGTGGGGGCTCCTCTTATAAGATAATTAACCCCACCAGGGGGAGTCTGAACTCCTGGAAGCTCATAGCAAGGCCCCTGTCTTATGGGGATAGCAACAGCCAAATGCAAGCCAAGGGCCAGGGACCTACTAGCTTTCCGGCAGTGGATGCAATCACCTGATTGACCTAATTCTCCCCTCAGCTTTGACACTGCCCCACATGGGTAGCCTGCAACCTGATCCCAGCTGCCCTTGTACAGGAAGTGCCTACTCCAGTTCTGAGTGTGGCTGCATTCAAAACAGGCTCTGGAAGGAGTCTTTGGGCTCTGCCCTCTGGGTCTGAAATCGTCAGAAGTCTTTGGAGAGCTTTCCTGGATGGAGAGGGTAGAAAGGCCTTCTAGAGAGGCTGTTTGGGCTTAGAAGATTTCCCGGGTACAATTGCCAACATCTGTCAAGGAGAATTTCTTCCTGAGGCTACCATGCACGGTTTGCTAAACCTCTACCGCACCATGCAGCGAGGGCTGTTAGACACCAAGGCCTGAGGACGCCTGTCCACAGAGTACACTCCGTTTCACAAAGTGGGTCTGGGGCTCTGGCTGTGCAGATATCAGAGACGGGGCACAGGGCAGGGACTGGCACTCAGCCATGAAAACTGCCCTGAGGATTTCCTTTTTAGTTCTAGATACGTAAGTGGTTTCCCTCAAACATGTTCTTTTTTTTGATTTCCTTTTCAGAGGATGATGCTTCCGGCTGAAGCAAATTCCATACAAGTGTTTAGTAATTCAAATAGTTGAGTTCAGTCAGGGAAAGAAATCGCTGTCTGGGGAAGAATTGGGCTTCCACCCAGGGCCTGCCATGAGGTGCTCTGTGCCCCCCTGGTGTCTGGGAGAATGGGCTTTCCTAGGGCAGCGGGGTGACCCAAAGCCCATTCTGAGACTTTGAGGGGACAGCTGTGTCCACCACCGCTGCCCATCGCCCCCCACACCCAAACTCTGGGAAAGGTATTCTGGTGACAGGCACATTCACAGGGGCCTTCCCAAGGGCGCTTTGGCTCCCAGGTGGCTGGAAAGGCCGAAGCGTGTCCCTCCAGCCTTGGTGTTTAACCTGATTTTCACCTGAAATGACTGATATAGTTTTCAGGGCCCGGAGGACTCGGAAGGTGCGTAAAGCTGAGACATTGCCCAGGTCCACAAATTCAGTTGTGTATCTGTAACAAGGGAAATTCACACACGAGACAGTGACGACACGCCAGTAGGAGACACACGGTCAGAGGAGGGTGGGGGGAGACAGAGAGAGAGTCACTTGTAGCTGAGATCTGAGAGGCAAATCTGGGCATCTTACCTGGGATAACTGAAATAGTTTTTAGAGCTCTCAGGACTCTGAAAGTTCGAAGAGCCGACAAATTGCCTAGTTTTATATTTTCTGATACATACCTGCAGAATCAAACCACAGTTATTGGGAATTACAAAGCAGCACCGCAGCCGGCCCTCCCGACCAGTCCTCTCCCTCTCCACCCCCAACAGGAGGGCTGTGGATGGCCCGGGGTCTCTCCCAGGTGTTCTTCCTGATCCTAACCCTTCTGACAAGGGGGCCTCAGCAACAGATGTCCACACAGCAAGCCCCCACGGCGGCTCTCCCAGTGACTGTACTGTTGAGTGACCGGTGCTGGGAGGCAACTACTCTGCCACCTTCTCCAGGCTGCAGGGGGCTGTGGCATGGAACTTCGCGCCAGGGTCTGAGGCTGGGGACACAGCAGCATGAAGAGAGAAGCTTTTCCAGGAGGCACAGGCCACCTGATACAGGAAACATGTGGATTTCTGGTCCTAGTTTTGCTGTGTCTTCTGAGGTCTGTGATCAGCTGGTGTCTGGCTGCTTCTAACCGTGAGACCCTAAGCTCTGGCTGAGGCCACCTTAGAGGCATGGCTAGGTCTCCCAGGGTGGCCGGCTTGCTCTTTCCAACTGCAAGGAGTGGCTTAGGGGTCCTTGAAGCCCTGAGATGAAGGCACTCAACGGGAGAAGCAGAGCTCCCTAGGCAATGCTTTGGAAGATGGGAAGGGAAGGTGTCAGAATATTGGACTCTGCTACACACAGGCAATGGCCACAGAAAAGAACAGAACAGGATGAGGGGTTCTAGGGAGAAGCTGGCCTTGACCCCATGACTCTGCTTCAATCTCACTCCAGGACTCTCAGTGTCCAAGGGTGGCTGTGGGTCTCCATGGGAAGTGGGCAGCCCTTGAGGTGTCCTGCCTGGGCCTGAGTGGGGCTCAGCAGGTTGAATGACCCCAGAACTTGGAAACTCGTGACTGGTGGCCTCCAGAGCACAACAGGAAGAGGTCAGTCTCTGAGGGGCAGGGACCTGCCCAAGCAGAGCATGAGGACATGCATGGATGAGCCACCTGACCAAGATGTCTGAGAGGTAGATGGACAGTGTGTGACCAGGACCATTGGGACAGTGGCAAGTGACTCGTGATATTTAACCAAAGGCTTTGTGTCCAGGGTGTCTGACATTTAACCGAAGGTGTCTGATGTTTAACAAAGGACAGCGGCCTTAGGATGTCTGATGTTTAACCAAGTGTGTCTGTCCTGGTGTCTAAGTGACGTCAGACCTAGGACATCAGTCCAGCGACACCGGGTGAGTGCTAGAGATGGGTTGACAGTGCAGCTGGACTCACTGTGCAGGTCAGTCTGGACCTCCAGACCCCTCCACTGTGCACATGAGTCTGAATCTGCCTTCAGACTGGGGTGTCTACAGGGAAGGACTTGGCAGGCTGTGGCCAGGGACTCAGTGTTCTGGAGTCAGCTGGGTCCAGCTCTGACACTGGGTGGACACCAGCTTCCTCTGTCCACTCAGCGGGACCTTCCAACTTCTTGGGGCCTTGTGGATCATGTCTTCTCCCTCCTTACCACATCCCTTCAGAGACGCAAAGTCAATGTCACATTCTCAGAGATTTCCTTCTGGCCCCAGACGATCCTTTCTGTGCTGTTTTCTATTCTATCCCGCATTCACTTCAGCTTGTAAATCTTTCCTAAGTAAGAGGCGTCCCATCTTGCAGTGGGGAGAAGTCACCTTCCTTGTTCTGGCCCGTATGCACTTATTAATTCGGTTAAAGCTTCCTTTCAACTTTGGATGGCTATTCTGTTCTCTGTGAAGGCTCAGACCCTCAGGCCTCTGTCCCACATTCTCCTCCCAGACTTGGACTCTTTGTCCAGACCCGGTGCCGCCACGGGACTATTAGGTGGAGCCCAGAACCCTGCCAATGTTGCTGTCACACGGAGGCCACGGTTCCAGGCTGCTGGTGGTTCTGCTCCCCCTTCCTGCTGCTGGTCTTGTGCTGGTCACATCTTCCAGAGGAGGCCCAAGGCAACAGCTTTCCTTGCCCAGCACACTGGTTTCAAAGCTGTCTTGGGTTCCAGGGAGTGAGCAGAGCACTGCAAATCTGAAGGAGAAACAACTATCCTTGCTTCCTGCCCTGTTCTGTCTAGATCCTGTGTGTCCCCTGGTGTCTCCAGGAAGAAGACCTGCCTGTCTCCAGCTTGGATTCTGCCTGTCCCCGACCCTGCCCCCCTCCTGCAGTGCCCCCAGCTCCGACGGTGCTGGCCCTCCATTCATCTGCCTCCTTGGCAGCTAGTACTGAGCACAGAGAAGCCAAAATGCCAAGATGTGTGTCCCCGCAGGTGTGCCCAGCAGCTGAGTAGCTGAGAACAAGAGTGGGGCTGGTGGTCTCGAGTCTGTGAAGTCAGGACACACATGGGAGAGCCTTGACTGTGGGGTGCGGAATTGGGTGACATGAAGATTGCTGTCCCTTACACAATCCAGAGCTGGGTGCCTGGCTGCTTCCCTGGTTGGGGCCCTAGACCCTCACCAGGGTTTCTTTTGGGGCCCTGAAGGTGGCAAAGCAGAAGAGACCCAAGGAAGGCCCCCCCCCAGCAGTGGCGGGGCTGGAGAGGGGTCTCTGCCCTGTCAGGCGGGTTCACCTCTCCTCCCTGTCCTCCAAGCCATTTGACTCTTTCTGCCCTGGGCAAGCTGCTGGGCGGGGCGCACAGTGGGGAGGGGGGAACTGAGGGGCTCCTGGGCCCTGACACAGGAAGAGTAGAGGTGATGGGCGAGAATTCACCCTGTCACATCAGCCCCAGGGTAGGGGGGAGACTTTCTGAGGCTGAGGGATCATGAGGAAGGGCAGGGCCCTGCCTTCTTCCTGCTCCACCCCATCTTGCTGTGCAACCCTCCTCCGGGGCTGCTAGGCAGAGGGGACAGCCGAGCCATTAGCTACTGCGGTGCCTGCCACCCTCTCCTCTCTGCCCTCCCTTCCTTCCCCTCCAGATTTGGTTTCCATAACAACCCCAGAAGGTGGGAGGCTGTGCTAACTAGCAGGTAATGCCCAGCTGGGAGGGGGGCCAGAGGAAGAGCTCTAGCTGTCTTCTGAACACCCCCTTCGCCCCTCCCACAACTTCAGGATCAGTGGGGGTGGGGGGGGATCAGGTCAAAACCTGGCTAGAAACATCAGACTTGGGGTGCTTCTCATGGTTATGAGTTAGGAGACTTGGTTGTAGTCTGATTCATTGACGCTGATTCATTCCCTAATTTGGGCCAAGTGGGAGGCTCTTTCAGCCTCAGTTTTCCCATCTGTAAAATGGAGGGGATGTTAGGGAGCAGAACTTTCCTGCAGCTCAAGACCCCTTTGGTAGTCCTAGGAGCCCCATATTATTGAGCCATGTTGGTTATAACAATGCTTTTCACTGCATCACCAAGGCAGTCATTGTTTTTACAAGGCAGAGTCACTGTCCCACCAAGCTTCTGGGCTACCCTGGCCCAGCGCACAAACCTGACATGTCAGTGGGCCCATGCAGACCTGGGGGCATCATTTCTGAGAGCTGCTCAGACATGGGGAACTAGTCTGGTGGCCTCTGGGCCTGTTCTGCTTTGTCATTCCTGGTCTGGGACAGAGGGGAGGCAGGCAGGCCTTGGTGAGGCAGACACACCTGCTCCATGGAATCCCACGGGGATCCCAGAGTCATGGGCTGAAGTCAGGCCAAAGTCTGGCTCCTGTCACCAGTCAAGGGGCCCAGGGCCACGCCTTTCCCCAGGACCTGGGGGTTTTGTTGCCACGGCAGGGACCTGCTCAGGCTCCAGGATAGGAAGGTAGGGAAGGGACAGGCAGACACTGCGCCTCTCCTGCTGAAGCCGCCTCCCTGTGTCTCCAGGCCCTCAGGAGCCCGGGGATCCCTGCCACCCTCCTGCCAGGCATCCTGGGGCCCAGGCCTTGCTGGCTCCATATTCCAGCCGGTGCTATTTCCTAGCTCCGACATGGAGCGCGCTCCCTCTCTCCTCAGACTTCTGACATGTCTCCCCACTGTGTTCTCAGCTGATGATCCAGCTCCTATCACTGGGAAATAGAAGCAATCAGAAAATTCTTTCTTCTTTCATCATTGAATCTATCAATCGCCACCTGAAATTCTGCCTTCCCTGATCTTAAGGCCAACACTCCACCCCCTGGGGCTGGGTTCCCGCCTCTTGGGCCAGCTCAAGGGTTCTCCTGGGGGCCTCCCGCTCTCCCACCTCACCAGGCTCCCCCTCTCTACTGGGTCATTTCCATCGGCCCAGAAGTGTATCACCCTTCCTTGAACATCTTCCCTTGACCCTGCCTCCCCTCAGGCACCACCCTATGTTCTGTCCTGTTTTATAGCAACCCCCACAAAACAGATTCCTCCACCTCCCACACCCCTCCTCTGGAGCTGTCTTGTCAGAGTCCCCATGGTCTTCACGCAGTTGCCTGCAACGGTCAGCCCATTCTTGGTTCTCATTTCCTTGATTCTTTGCAGTGTCTTTCAAGTTGAATCACAGTCCTCAGCCGGCTTTGGGGGGATGTTGCTCTCTCGCGGTTTCCCGCACCCTCCCTCGGGCCATTCTGGTTTTCATCCCTTGATCCTCCTTTTCTTCTGAGCCCGAGATGTTGGCGTGTCCCATAGTTTGGTCCCAGGCGCCTCCCCTTCTCTGGCGACACGCATTCCTAGATGAGCTCATCGGTCTTCTGGCTTGAAAGGCCATCTGTATCCTAGTGGCTTCTAGATTTGTATCTCTACCTCGGGCCTCTTGTCTGAGCTCCAGACTGGGGTATCCAGTTGCTTGCTCAGTCTCTCGCCCTGGGTGCTTTCAAATTGAATATAGTCCACACTGGACTTGGGGTCCTCTTCCTCTCTCAGCCAGCTTCCCCCTTTCTCCATTTTAACAGGCAGTAACACTCACTCAGCTGCTCAAGTCAAATCTAGCCTCTCGTGTGTCGTCTGCCTTTCAGAACACAGCCAAATCTGCCCTTCTCTCTCACCTTCTCCACATGGACCCGGTCCCATATACCAGCCTCTCTCTCCTGGCAACTAAGTAGCCTCCTAGCTGCTGTCCACACCCATCCTTCCCCTCTACAATCTCCTCTACACTGCAGCCAGTGTGATCCTCACGTGACCTCACTCCCTGCTCTTGACCCCCACCGGCTCCCCTCACATTTGGCCAGTAAGGCCACACAACCTACCCCACCTCCACTCTCATCCTCACCGCCCACCACACTTTCTCTTGCTCACTGAGGTCTGCTAGTCTAAATCTACATGGGATTTCGGGCAAGTGGTAGCCTTTTTCTGAGCCTCTGTTTCCCCACCTGTAAAATGGTGGGCTGGGGTCAGCTCACAGTGTACCTAGAAACAGGGGTCCTGATGCATTTCCTAACCCCCAGATTCTGCATCTAGCTTGAAAGGACCCTGTCAGGAGGGCCCAGCTTCCCCTTCTCTCTCACAGTGAGGCTGAATTCATAGCAGGAAGCTCCTGTCCAGAGTTACAGTTGGTCATGAATAGGTGGAGTCTGGGAATCTGAGAACGCTAGGAAGTAGTTCTCACAGTTATGCTAAACCTGAGACCACTTAGCAGAGCACCCTCCCTTTACAGATAGGGAGACCAAGGCCCTGCGATGGGGCATAACTCCACCTCTGCCGCAGCTCTCCTCTTGGGCTCTCCACACACAGCAGGCTCTCAGGGTGATGGCTGAGCCCTTGACCATGACCAGCACTGGAGGCCCTTCCGGACCACTCTCCCACTAGAACACTTGGTGCCCTGACACTTCCAAGGCAGATGCCCCCCACCCAAGCCCTCAGAGAGGGTCTCCTCTAGGCCAGGAAGTGGGGCCTCCACCTGCACAGCAGCAGGTGGGGGATCAAGTTCATTTGCTGGTGGGCTCACTGTGGTCCTCAGCATCAGTTTTCTCATGTAAAACAGTGATAAAGAAACCCCCTCCGGCCTGTTCTCTGGGTGGTGTAAGGATCCACTGGGTCACATCAGCGCCCGAGTGCCTTAAGATGTGCCCAAGGTGGAGAACCAGCGATGGCCTGGCACAAGTTCCTGGGGGAAGCCTGGTCACCTCTCCAGACTCTTCCTCTTTCCTGCAGATTCATCCTTAACCACCTCGGCCACAGTGACCGGAGATTCCAGCCTGTAATATTGGTTTCCTTTGGTGGGGAGGGCAGAGGATACTAGAATCTTAATGATGTCCCTCAAGCATGGGGAGCCACGGAGTCACAGAAGAGCCAGTGGACTCGATCGCCAGGCTGGCCCAAGCCACTCTGGCCCCATCTCCTGCGGTCACAGGACAGTGGGAAGCTCCACAGCGCGTGGCTGCAGCGGGTGGCAGAGGGCTGGGCGCTGGGGCAAGATGGCCTGTGGCACAGCATGGCACACCGAGCGAGTACTTACGCCATGACAATCACACTGAAGTCCAGCCAGTTCCACGGGTCCCGGAGGAAGGTGAATGCATGCAGGCAGAAGCCTCGAGCCAGAATCTTCACCAGAGACTCAAAGGTGTAAATGGCTGTGAAGGTGTACCTGGGGAGGAGAGACCAAGGGGTTTCTCGAGGAGGCGGAAGCCTGCAGGCAGGCTCCCCACGTGGCGGGAGCCCTGCGCAGCAGCTCTCTCTGGGGACATCAGGCCAGGCTTGCCACAACGTCCCCACGGCAGAGCGGGAGTTGGGGGCTGGGGCTTTGTTCCAAGCATCTGCTGACTAATGCACCTTCCCATCTGTTTAGTTGGCAAAGTGCCTGCGCGGTGCCCATCTGAACGCTCCATCTTCTCGTCTCCGTTGCCTTGATGTCAAAAGACCCTCCGCTTATCTCCTCCCCAGCCTCGGGGCCCACGTATGCAGGCATATATGGTAGTCACTGCGGGAAGGACACTCAGAGCCCCTCACCCTTGTCTGCAGGTCCCCAGGTGGCTAGGGATGGGAGCTGCCTACAGGCAGGTGCGTGCCGCTGCCCACCTTGTGCTTGGAAAGGAGACTGATGCTCATCTTTTGATCATTTTTTAGTGCCTTCCCTAATGTTATTAATCTTCTTTGGGGGTGTAGGAAGAAGCCCCCAATTTGCCAACAGGGGGATCTTCCTCCCCTGAGGGCATGACTCCAAGCAAGAAGTTAGCAGGAGTGGGAGTAGCAAAGGATCTGAGCTAAGAACTGCCACCCCCGGCCTCTTCTTGGGGTGACTTTAGGGGCTAGAGCGTGGAAAGGAAAAGGTTGGGCGGGACGGTCCCCTGGAGAGGGCCTGTACATACTTACTCGACATATTTGGTCCAGGGTGGAGGGTCGTGCTGGGCCATGAACACGCAGTTGGTCAGGATGGTGCACATGATGAGCATGCTGAAGAGCGTGGCGCAGGGTCAAGGAAAGCTGTGGGCTCCGTGGGAGGGCTGCCACGCCAGTGAGATGGGTTCCAAGGGGACAGACTGGGGCCGTGCCCACGGTGCCAGCCTCTCCCCACTGAGGCTGGTCTCTGTGCCCTCCCTGGCACCTGCTACTGGACACCTGTCCTGCCCCACAGGCCAGACACCTGAGTCTGCCACTTCAGCAGGCCCTGTGAGGCCCACCCTGGAGGGGAGGGAGGAGGGCCAGCTCCAGACCTCAGGCCCTAGACCTTTGCTTACAGTGTGTGGGAGCCCTGTCCTCAGCATGCTTGGGGAGAGATGCGTGTTTATGCTGTTCCTTGGGGAGCACTGTTGCTGGGAGAGGAAGGACATGGCAGAGCGCCAGCTTCCCTTCCTCACAGCCAGGGGAGCAGCCCCGACTGCCCTTTCACCAAGGGCTTCTCCGAAGCCATGCCGTGCTGCCAAAACCTACACACTTTGTCACGCACACTGACCCCGGGCAGGCTGGGCTGGTTCTCTGCTTCCTGCTTTCATGTCTGGTGTTCACTTTGGCCTCTGCTCCATCTACTCTCTTTCAAGAACTCCCTCAGCAGGAGTCCCCTCCCCCAGCAGGAGCACCCCTTTGCAGAAGCACTCCCTTAGGAAGAACATCCCTCAGGAGGAGTATCCCCTCAGAGGTGCATCCCTTCAGTGGGAGTATCCCCTCAGCTGGCTGCATCCCCTCAGTGGGAGCAACCCCTCAAGGGTCATCCCCTTCTCAGGAGTAGCCCTTTGGCAGGAGCAGCTCCCTCAGCACAGCATTACCTTGGTAGGCGGACCCCTTCAGCAGGAGGGCCCTGTCTGAATGGCCTGATTCCTGGATTACCGCAGCCTCTGCGCCACCAAGGTATAGGGTTGCTTGCTGAATGTAATGCCCATCTGACACCCACCAGAAGGGGCGCTCTTCCAATGCTGGTACTGTGTCTAGAGCATCTGTCAGGGCTTTTGGCACTGCCCATGTCTGATCCCTGACTCTTTGGCTGTAAGTCCCAGTTGCTGCTTCAGACTGGATGAGGCTGAGTAATCCATGGCCTCCCTCACCTCTCTGAGACCTGCAGCTGAGCACAGAATAGACCCTGGACCTTGTGTGGCTGTGGCCCCCCCAGAGGGCCTGGCCCAGAACAGGGACACTGCTGCCCTCACAAATCCCTTCCCCACCGCCCTAGCCGTAGCCCTGCGTGCAGCAGCTGCCAGCCAGCGAATCCCTCAGGCCACCCAGGAGCTGCAGTAATTGAACTCCAGGGGCCTGCCTCTTTCCTCCCTACCACAGCTCCACCCTTTCTACAGCCTGACCTAGCCTCAGGCATGATGGGGAGGCCAATGCAGTCAGATTGGAGCTGGGGTGCAGCTGGGGGTGCAGCAATATGGGGAGGCCTCCCGCAGCGGAGAGAGGTGAGGCCTCTCAAGGACCAGTGGCTCCCCTCCACACCTGCAGGAAGTCTAGGGGGTCAGGAAATAGCATGGCATACCTGACCCCAGTTTATAATGAATTCTCGGGCTTTGGGGACCTCCCTCAGTCAAGCCAGGGCTGCTCAGCTCAGAGGTCATAGCTCCAGAAGCCTTGATTCCTCTCTGGCCAGAGGGCACCTCTCTGGGCACTGGGGTCCCTCCTACAGCTTGGAACCTGCCCATCCTGTGCCTGTAGCAGCGTCTCCATGGCAGGCACATCTCCCTCTCCCTCTGCAGCTTTCAGGGGCAGGATCAGATATTCGTCTCAGAACACACACACACACACACACACACACACACACACACACGCGTGGCTCATGCCAAGGCTTTCCTCACTGCGCAGCTAACAGGTCCCTCAGATCCTTGATTCATCCCCACAGATCCACTGCTAAGCTGTCTGCCGAAGATCCCGGATGATTCCTGAAAAAGGAGAGCAATGATAGGAGCATGCATTTATGGAGATCTGCCTTGGTGCCAGGCTCTGGCTGTCTGTGTCCATGAACTAATTCAATTATCCCAACAACCTATGAGGTGAGAACTTTGTCTCCATTTTACAGATGAGGAGACAGAGGCACAAAGAGGTTAAGTAAAAAATATGATAATAGGTAAAATGACAGTCCTCCAAAGACAACCATATCCAAATCCTTGGAAATTATAAATGTCAATTCCTACGGCAAAAGGGACTTTGCAGATGTGATTAAATTAAGGCTCTCAAGATGGGGAGATTATTCTGGGCCATCTGGGTGGGTCCAATGTCCTCACAGGGTCTTTCTAAATGAGGAGGGATGCAGGAAGGCCAGGCCCAGAGAAATGCATGTAAGAAACACCCCACCAGCTGTTGCTGGTTTTGAAGATGGAAGAGGGCCATGAGCCAGGAATTCAAGTAGCTTCTAGAAACTGCAAAAGCCTAGAAAGTAGATTCTCCCCATAAAACTCCAGAAAGGAACACAGTCCTGCTGATATCTTGATTTTAGCCCACTAAGAACTTTCTGGAAGTCTGACCTCCAGAACAAAAAGGTTCAAGCAATTAAGTTTTTGTAATTTGTAACAGCAGCCACAGAAAATGACTGAGACACAATGCCGATCAGTGGCAGCCCAGCTCTGAGCCCCACTATAGCACCATCTTGGTCCACTGACCCCGAGGGTCACCGGGTCCATTCCCCTGCCTCCAGACTGAAGGGCTTGTGTGAGTCACACTGGCACAACCCTTGCCTGCCAAGGGGGAATGCTACCCCAAACTTGGCCTCTGCCATGTGGTGGGAAAACCAAATGAGTGACAGGCTCATCCTAAGTGCTAGCAGACAGCCACATGGGAGGAGGAGGAGGATCGAACTGTCGATCTTAAGAATAAGCAAGCATGCGTGCCTGGCCCGGTGTGGGAGACAGGGAGGCTCAGGGCCACAGAACCAGACCTGCCTCTCATGGAGCTTCCTGGAGGAGGCATTTAGACAGGCCCTGAAGAATGGCCAGGGTTCCTCTCAGTGAGCAACTGGCCAAGCTGGTCACCACGAAGTATGGTGGGCTGAGGACTGGGGAGGCGCCTCTCTGAGGATTCGCTTCTCTCTCTTTGGGCTGTTGGTGGACAGTTAGGACAAAGGCCCCTTGACAAAGAGCAGCAGTGCAGACAGCCTGCCTTGGACTGGAGGATATGGCCTCCCCCCACATCAAGATGTGGGGAGAAGCCAGTGTAGGCAGCCCTTCTGAGTCTTGCCAGCCAGGGCTGGGGGTGCAGTGTAGGAAAATTCGGCCTATCTGTGTTTTGCTTTCTTCAGACACAGCAATGACCGAGGGTTTTTAGTCTCCTTGCCACTTGACCTCTCAAAACCCTGCCCAGCTCTCCTGACTTTAAGGATGGCCCTTCCACTATCGTCAGCCATTTCTGTGTGAGTGTGTGTGTCTGTGTGGTATCTTTCTGCCTAGACGGAACCTTTAGTCCATGTGACTCTGCTCAAAGCATCCACGGGTCCCCCACGGAGCCCAGCCTGCAGCGATACCAGAGAGATGAGTCAAGTGTCCTCCTGGCCAGGGCACACCTGTTAGCACTGCCTGGCTCTGGGCTGATGATTGAGCTGGTCCTGTGTGTGGGCAGAGGCAAAGGCCAGCTCTCCAGGACTGTACTCGGCTGAACATCTTCAATCCTGTCGTGTCATTGTCCCCAAACACCCACTCCCAGCCTCATGATTAAAATGCCAGCAAGGACAGCCTGCATGGGCTGTGGGGAATGCCTGACACTTGGGCTGCCTGTCTTCAGAGCCCAATGAGTCAAAAAAAATCCCAAAGAGAAGGAAATTCACTGTGGGGGATATTTTCACATATTTGTGCTGTTAAATGAACACACACACACACACACACACACACACACACACACACACACACACACACACACACGTGGTTTGATTGCCCATTTGAATGTGCTAGAGAAACGTGGGAGGATTTTGTGAACGGATCCTATGCACCCAGGAAGGCAAAGCGCTTCTCGGCGTGAATGTGAGGTCTCTCTGAATGTGACTGTGCTGAATTTGGAGTTCAGTTGGTTTCTTTTATTTAATCCTGGCAGGAACACATTCTGCAGGATTATCAAAAAAATATGTAGGAAAAAAATAATTCTACAGGCCCCTATTTACTTTTTTTAGGCAGCATCCCAGGGATGCATTGCAGGGGAGGAGGCACGAGCACTGCTCCATGTCACCGTGCAGACGAGGGGCCGGGGAAGTAAGCAGGTAGTCTCTGCTTGGGAGCAGGGATCTTGAGAGCAGGGCTGCCCCCTGCCTCCTTTTAAGTCTGTCTTGCCCCTCCTTGCCCTCTCTAGTACAGAGGGCCTAGCACAGAGCCTTGCACAAGTTCGTCTGAGATGTTTGAAACGATATAAAAAATGGCATCGGACAATGGGCATCGAGTTTGGGTTCTGCAGGATGAAGAAGTCCTAGGGCGTTCCTGTGCAACCATGGGTGTATGAAGTTAATACTGCTGCACTGCACACTTAAGGAATGGTTAAGACGGTAATGTTTATGTCTTTTTTAACCACAATAAAAAATTGTAAGCTGAGTGAAAGTTCACAAGTCAAATATAGAATCTGGGGGCATCAGAAATTCATAGTGAGTCCTAATGGGCATGTGTTTCTTTTGGGGGTGATGAAAATGTTCTGGAATGAGATAGCAGTGATGGCTGCACAACCTTATGAATATCCCAGCATCCACTGGGCTGTATACTTTAAGACCGTGAATGGCATGAGAATTATCTTAATTAAAAAAGAAAAGAAATGCATGAAAAAAAAAATGTGTAGATTCTGAGGCTCCCAACACTGGTGATTCTGGTCAAGAGAGGGCAAGAAATGTGCATTTTTAACACCCTTCCAGGTGCCCCTCACAGACTGACATTGACAACAACTGCCCTGGGACAGAATGTGCTCAGGGATCCTGGGGACCCTGCTGAGACGCTGCTTCTGGGACGGGGTCTGAAACTCAGCAGCTCCTACGAGATCCTCATGCTGCTGCTGCTGCTACTGGTCTGTGTACCACCCTTAATTGGCAGGGGTCAAGGGCACAGAGGGGCTGCTCCCAAATCCCACTAACATAGGGATTTAGGTGCCTCTCTCCCCCACCGTGCCCTGAGCCCACTAAGGGATGCTGCTGAGGGCTAGCAGTGTGATCCTACCCAGGCAGTGGCGTGTCAAGGCTGCTAGAAGCCCAGCACGGGGCCTCACTGATGCCAAGGCATTTCCCTGGGGCAGCTGCCCTGGGAGACGTGGGCTGGCTCAGAACCCTCAGGGCCTCTCCTACTCAGTGGAACAGCCTCTCACAGCCTCAGTGTCACCATTCAATGGACCCTCTGGCCAGGCTGGGGTCTCCAGTGCCCCCACTACCTCCCTCGCCCCCCTGCCTTCCTGGCCTCATCTGCCCCGCGGCCCAGCCCAGGGCCCCGCAGAAACCTTGGGGCTGCTGCTGCATCCCTGGGGGCTGCCGTGGCTGCCAAACAGTGCTGGGTTGGTTAGATACCTGGAGGAGAAGCCCCAGGTGAGAGCCTGAGATGCTTTCAGGGAGGCCCGCCCTCAGAACGAGGCCCCGGAGACAGGCTCCGAGCGAGGAAGAAGCCTGGCCGACCTCCTCCCGCCGTACTGTCTCACCAGGCTGTGCCCATATGCTGGCAGGCAGGAATGGCAACTATTTGTGTGGCTTTCTTATCACTCTTAGGAGACTGTCAAATTCCCAAGGGGGCAAGGATAGGGTCTTACTCAGTTCGATACCTCTAGGACGCGGCAGGATGGCTGGCATCCATCCAGAGCGCGGGGACAGTTGCAGAGAGGCTCCACATGAAGCAGAACTCTCCGTGCTCCACAAAGTAAGGTGAAACTGTGAACGGCAGGCCCCCTGGATAGCCCCTGCCCCACCATGTCTGCCCCAGGATGTCTGCTCACCACCAAGGCCACCCTGCTGCTCACCCACCTGCTACCTGCAGATGGGGCTTACCTAAATGCACATGCCCCTCAGAAAGGTGGGCGTGCGCGGGATGGAGGAGGGGAGGGCAGACGTGGGGTTGAGAGCGCCTGGGTGGGCAGAAAGGGGGGCCAGGAAGGGACACATCTCATATCTGCCTGAACAGGAAAAGCCCCTGTGTGGTAGAGGTCTCGGTTACTTAGTGTTTCACTGGGCAGCTGTTTTCCTGAAGCCTCCTGCCTGACCCAGAGGGTGAAGGGTGAGGTCTTTGCCTTGACCTCAGAAAAGATCCATCTAGATGGGAAATCGAGGGGCACCTTGAGGAACTCTGTCGGGCCACTCACCACATTCCCCACCAACCACAGGGCTGAGCCCAGCGGTGCTGCGCCAGCGGGCAGTCAAAGGCAGGTGGCCTGGGTTGTCACAGTAAGTGACAGACTCTCACCTCATGGCCGATGCCCACTCTGCCTGGGAGGCTCCCATTCTGAAGTCTGGAGAACAGCCACCCCCTGGTGCTGGGCCCCATCCGAGGTGGGGCCTGACTGAGGGCCCTGAGATCCTAAAGAGCAGTCCATGCCCTTATCACCCGCCTCACTGTAGGCGCTATCCTCCGCCGCCGGCAGCTTTTTCAGGCTGTGGTTTATATAACTGAACGCAAACCAGAGCCTCTGAGATACTCGGAAACTGCAAACATTTTGTCAACACTTAATCAAAAAGCAAGTGTTGCCTCCCTCGAAAGATGCCCACGTGTGGATAAACCAGAGGCCTCTTTACTGGGAAGGGCTTTTTCCTGGGGGTGTGAGGTCCCTGTGAGTGGGCGGGGAGGTGCAGGGTCCCGGGGGTGCAGAGTGACAGGACATTTGGAGCTAGTATCAGAGCCTGGCCCTGGCAGGACCCATTTCTTCTGGGATCCTCAGTCACTGACCTTCTAGGATGTTTCTCTCCTTTAGAATCAGAGCAGGGATTCTCAAACTTTCATGTGCCTGAGAATCCCTTGGGACCCCATTAAAATCAGCAGGTCTGGAGTGGGATCTGAGAGGCTACACTTCCACGCAGCTCCCGGGTGACCACCGCTGGGCTGAGCACCGGCCAGGGGTTGTCACCGCCCACAGACTTAAATACCCTGTCCACCCCCACTGGGGCCCAGAGGGTACACACAGTAGGGACTGACTGCAAAAGATATGAATGAACGAGAATCTTCACGGCCGCTCTCCGGACAGGGTGGAAGGGACTGAGGATGTACAAGGCGTTGGTGGCGCTGAACCGGAAGATGGTCTTGCCTTTATTCAGCACGATGAAAGTCTGTGGACAGAGAGTTGCTTTAGGTGGAAGTGGTGGCCCTTGTGGAGAGAGGTTTTGGGGGGCAGCTGTCCACCAGGAGCTCTAGAGCCCTGGCTGCTGGCGGGGTGGGAGGAAGAGGAGAGAGGCTGAGGGAGGGGCAGCAGGCAGGGCAGCCAGCACATTTGGCAGGTCAGCAGACCCTTGCTGGGTTGCCCATGCTGGGGTGGAATGAGGTCAAGTTCAGGAGGATGCCAGGTTGGGATTTAATTTAGTTTCACAATGACTGTCCTAACAAGAAGGGGGTCCTTCATGACCCTGGCCGCTGTCGGCAGAGGCCGGGCCCATGATGTCCCTACTTTCCCTTGGCTGATGTCTCCCCACCCTGTAAGGTTTTCCTACTGGGCCCACTGGGGACTGACAGTCTGATGAGGGAGCGGGGATGAAGAAATGTGAAAAAAGACTAAAAGACTTTTGACTACAATTAGGTACTTCGGGTCGTATTCCTCTCCCAGCCTTTTTCTCTTTCCTTCCTCATCATACAGTGAGAATATATTATGTGTCAGACACTATGTGGGAATAATGTAATAACGCAGATGCCCTAAAAAGAACGAAGGGTTTAATTTTTCCAGTAATGTGTCCAATCTTTGTATTTTAGTACATTTTGCATTTAGAGTTTCAAAGTCAAACCACCCGAAGACGCTGTCTACACAGCACAGCGGGGCAAGGACAGTGAGTGCTGGGGGCTGGGCCACATGCCAGATGCAGCCCTTGAGGACAGCAGGCCGCCTGCCCGCCCGCTGCCCATGGGCATAGCGAGGTGGCCCAGTTCAGGGTTTCCCTTTTCCAAGGGTGGAGCTGGTGAGACCAAGTCCCATTTAATCTGGGACAACTGGCAGATAGATGTATCAGGACCAAAATGTTTGAGTGCCTACATCACCCTGTGGGACTATGGGCAGTGTTGGCAGGGGTCAGCAGGAGAGATGGAAGGTCAGAGGCCAGAATCATATCTGGGCCAGGGTTCAAGTGTCCATGGACAAAGGGACAGAAGAGACAGTGTCCCTGACTCCTTCCAGCCCCGATGCCACCCTCGGTTGGTTGTCTGCCATGACACTCCCTGCCCCAGCTAACTCCAACCTGCCACTTTGACTTTGACTTGCCCCTGAAACCTTGCCTCGCCACCAGCTATGGCCCGAACTCCAGCCTTGACCCACTACGGCCTAGGCCCACTCACTGTGATGAATCCCAACTTCAGGTCAAATTCGACCCCAACTGTGGCCCCAATCCCTGATTTGAACCCTACTGGAGTCACTTGAGCCAGGGGGAAGTGGGCCACGTCTCCCCCTTATGCTCAGGAAGGACAATAGCACAACTGCCCACTCTGGGCCCCAGATTTCCCACTGGTTGTCATGGCCCATTGCAAGCCTGAGATGCCCAGGGAGCTGCTGCTATTGTTCCCCCCGTCTGGACCACCCAGGCAAGGTCAGTGCTCAGCAGGCTCTCCGGGGTGGGGTGTAGGGGCTCCACGTTGTCTCCATTAGGAGTGTGGACCATAGGATGTGCTGTGAGGCCTCAACTTAATTCAAGACAGGACTCAGGGCCCGACTCCAATTCATACACACCATGGGACAGTCAGGAGTCCTCCAGAGGTGAAAATCTAACCACAGATGATTCCCAAAGTGGGTCCTCTTCAAGGAGGGAAGATTTAAACTGTGGATGTCCTCACTCTTTCATAACACGAAACCATCTCATCCACACGGTTCTGGCCTGCGGTGATCAGAATCTGTATCACCAAGGACTCATTCCCCCACAGCCCAGGGAGCCTGACCCAAACAGAGCCCTAAATGGACGCAAGGCCCTGTCCCTTCTGCTGCTTTGACAGGGAAGCTGAAAGAAAGTGTGGGCAGAAGTGGGCACAGTCACCTTTTGGGTACTATAGAAGGGGTCCAGGTCCTCCAGGGGCTCCCCGATGAGTTCTCGGGGTGGGTTGCCATAGAGATCCGGCAGCTTTTTGGAGGCTTGCAGGTCCAGCTGGGGCCGGGGAGCCTCCTCCTCTGGCAGCCCCTCACAGCTCTCCTGCAAGGTGGCCGAGCCTCGGGCTTGCCTCTCTGCCATGCGCTTCTCGATGGCCGCAAGGGACTCCCGGGTGAACCTGCGGAAGCTGCTGGTGCCCCGAGGTAACAGGAAGTTTGCCATCTTCTCATCCTGCTTCTGGGGCACAGGCTGTCCTCGCACTGCCTGAGGGGAAGCTGGAAGACACAGACACGGGCCTGACCTACTGGCAGGGTGGAGGGCAGGGTGACCAGCTCACTGTGGGCGGCGGGTGGCTGTGTGGATGGAAGGAAGGACATGCCGAGAGGCTCCTGGACCGCGGGTTCCCCATCTCTCCCCCCAGGCACACCTGGCCAAAGTCAGCTTGGGTAAACTGAGCACCTTGCAAGCTGCGGACCATGCATGGGGACTGCAGGGGGTCACTCCTCCCTTTCCCACCCCCAAAGGCATGTCCGGAGGAGACATGAGTGATGGTGTCATTGAAGTCGCTTCATTCTGCCCCACTGGACAGACATGAAAGGCAACCCTTGCCCTGCTGGTTCCTCAAACAAGCCTACCTGCTTCACATTGGCACCTAACACAGGGCTGAGAGGGCCACTGTGGGGCAGGGCCAGAGCCTGTCATGTTGTTATCCCAGGTACCAGAAGGAATGAGGGCTGAGGATTACGCAGATGAAGGGCAAGGGCATAAGAAGCTTCTGGAGCCCCGAGGAAGGAGACCAGTGGCTCCCAAGTCAATGCCCAAATTCCAAGTTTCTTTCCCAGGTAGACTGCGGGTATGGGTGGTGGGGCCAGTGGGCGGGGGACACTGGTCTCCCCATAGCAATTGCTCAGGTGAGGTACTCACACCTTATTAGGGACACAGGGGTGCCAACATCTGGCAACTAAAGGGGCTTCTGTGTCTGCTGAAGGAGACCAGGACAACCCCGTGGGGTTTGGAAACAGCTGGGTAACCGCCTTGGGACTGGAATCCAGGTGTTGGGGTCCAGGGTAAAGTTGTAGTTCAGCCCCGCTGAAAGGACCTAAAAGAAACCCCCAGAGTGAGGCTTCTTCCAGAGATGGAAACCCTGAGCACCTCAGGCTCCCCTCCTCCCAAATCCGAACAAACAAGGGCTCATCCCAAGTGACAGCAGAAGCGGGAATGGTGGCCGCTCATGGGAGAGGCTGTCCAGCGGGCAGTGTGAGGTAACACTGGGAGAATGTGGCCCCCGGTGGCCTCAAACCATCCAGGGCCTGGTGTGAACACGCTCTGCTGATGACATGGAGGCCGAGGTATGCGCTGCTGTCCGTGCCACCAAAACAGGATATGGTCCGCGGGACTCCAGACCGAGCTGCCGCCGGGGAGGCTGAGTCGCTAATTACCACATCAAACCCGGGAATGGCCGGCACCGGTTCAAGAGGGCAGGGTGGACACCTGTTGGAGATCTCTGCCAGGGCAGAGTCCCTTTCCGTCAGCCAAGGGCCAGCGATGACTTCATCTAACTCCTGTGAAGGAGTGACCCCAATGAGGGCTGCTGCACCAGGCCCCTCGTGTGGCCCTCGAAGAGCCCCAAGCCCTGCAGACTGGCGTGAAGCAGGCACCCGGCCAAGCGACAGGTAAACAGAGAGCAAACACAACACAGCCCGGCCTCAAAAGGGCACCTCTGGTCCCCGGGGACCAGCAGCCTGGAATGTGAGCGGCGAGGCTGGAGGAGCGAAGTCCCAGGACCTGCCTTTTCAGAACCACCTCACCTTCAGCCTCTTTCCCTTCTAGTTCATTCAAATAAAGTTTAAGGAACATCTTCGTTAAAAATAGCAGGTGAGGGAGTAAGTTCCCGTTTTATAAAAGCAAGTCTACCTTCCATCTCTGAACAAAGAGAGGCGTCTCGTCTGTAATACTCGTCACCAAACGTGAATGGTTTTTTTTTTTTTACTTAGTTGGAGGAAGTTTGGGTAATTTTCAACTTTCTTCTTTGTACTTTCTTTCATTGCTTGAATTATTTATGGGGATTTTGTTTTATTTTTATAAGAACAAAAAAGCCATTCTTATAAAAAAAAAAAATAAAAGGCAGGCAGGCAGGAAAGGCAGCCTGGATGACAGCAGTCCTTTGCAGGGCAATCCTCTCTGCCGAGACAATCACTAGTCTCGAAATCAGGAAGCCTCCTCGTTTGCTTGGAATTATTTCCTAAAAATAGTATTCTCTGTCTCACTGTATCCATCTGTGTCCACACGCCTGCACGGCTTCTCGAAGACACGTGTATGCCCATGGACCTGCAGCGGCTCCCTGCATGTGCTGGCGTGCCTGCGTGGATGTGTGTGTTTGTGTGTGCACGCACACAAGCTTGCACCTGCATATGCATCTGTTCAAGGAAAGGTGTTTCGAAAATGTGTTCTGAAGTCAGCTATTTGTGCAGATTGGTGCACATATCCTAAGGGTACAGGTGGATGAATTTCCACAGAGTGGAAACACCTGGTAACCAGCACTCAGGTCAGACACTCACTGCCTTCCCCTGCCAAAGGTAACCCGTCTCCTGACTGCTCACAGCATAGATGATTCTGTCTGAGTAGTTTAAGGGCTCTTAACAAGTCTCTTAAGGGAAAGAATTTGGGGAAAATTGCATCTCATTCTCATTAACTGCTGAAATTTAGCATTTCCTTCCATGATGAATGGAGGCAGCAAAATGGAAGTTGTCGTGGCGATGACCAGTATTTCCTGTCCCATCACAGCTACTACAGGTGTGATGGGATGAACTCCGATATCATGATTTCCTCACCATTTCAAAACTGCAATGCTTACCAACATCCTCCCCCTCCCCCAGACCTTCTCATTTAATACATTAATAAAGTAACCCTGACGATGGGGCCCTGGGTCCCAAAGAGGTCTTGTCCTGGCCGGTTTCCAGCCGTGCACCCAAACTGTTGGGGCTTGGTGGTTTCTGAAACCAGATTCCAGATGAGTCCCCAGCGCCCCAGCAGCTAGGCAGCCTCAGGTTCCAAAGTAAACTGGGCAGGAGTGCTCTTTGTCTCTGGGCCCCACAGGCGGCTCATGGCCGGTGGCACGATCCCTTCCCTCCCTTGTTCTCCTGCTGCCTGCACCTGGTCCGGGCCCTGCCCTTCCTGCAGCAGCTTGGGGCCCACACCCTGCAGGGGATGAGAATGGCTGAGCCCTGCCTGCAAGGTATCTGGTGATGCTGGGGTAAGGAGGGTCAGGGGTAGCCTGAGGATACTATGGGCTCAGGCCCAGCCCATAACTCTCAGACCTAGAAGGTCAGGCCCCCAGGCTCCTCCGGAGGAGGCCCTTCCAGCTGGAGAAGGCAATAGGGGAAGTTGGGGGGGGGGGTTGTCTTCCAGCACAAGGGGAAGCTCGACCTGACTTCACTCTAAGACCATCGCTGTCTAGATACTGGTGACTCCACTGGTCCCAGCTCCTGTATCCACAGCAGCCCACACCTGCTCCGGGAGGGGACAGCTTCTTCCCACTGTCCACTCTTGCCGGGCCAGTTCCCCTCACCTGTCAGCTTCACCTGAGCTCTAGGGACCCTCTTCTCCATCCTGTCCCAAGTTCAGCTCCAGTCACCAGGTGCTTCTCTCCCTAAGTTCCACTGGCTCCTGAGAGTCCACGGAAGCAAACTATGAACCTTCTTTTCAAATTGGGCCTCCTGCGATCCTTTGTGACACTGGCCATGATCCACCCCCACCAAACAGCGTGGCTTCCGTCCCAATGCACTGCTCCGGGACAGGCCTCCTCTCTCATCCACCCTGGCTGGGTCAGACAGGTCCCGCTGCCTTTCCCTCCCCTTTTCCTTCCACCCCAAATGCAGCTCCCACCCCTCCCTGGCTCAGACATTCTCAAACACTCCCCAGTGTCATGACAGAGCTACCCCTGCTCCTAAAGACCCTTCCTCCCCTAGACCCCTCTTCTGCCTGCCTGCCCACACTGACCGCCCTTCTCTGGGCCCAACCCCACCCTTCCTGGCCTCGTATGCTCTTCGACAGTCCGTGGGGTGAGTCTGGTCTCCCCAAACAACCTGAAAACCTCTTCCTAAGGCAGAGCTGGATACCCCTCCCCCTCCACTGTGTCAATGCCTGTATGTGTGGGTATTCACATAAGGACAGAGATGGGGTGTGTGTGTGTGTGTGTGTGTGTGTGTGTGTGTGTGTGTGTGTGTGAGAGAGAGAGAGAGAGAGAGAGAGAGAGAGAGAGAAACTGCACCTCCTTTTGTCTCTTCAATTGGCCTTCCTGAAAGAAGGCCCTTCTTTTCCTGAACATACAGGCACACAGCTGGTGCTCAATCAAAGGTGGTTACGATGCCATGACACGGAGCACGACAGCCTGGCGCCCGGAGCGCAGTCGTGGGTACAGTTCCCGGCAGGGGAGCGATGCTCGGACTAAAATTCCTGCCTCCCGAGATATCCTTCAGTCCTGGAGGACGCTGGTCATGCCAGGGGCGGAGGGGTCCTACCTTCAGCCTAGTCCCTCCTTGAAGCCCCTTCCTGCCCACTTTGCACCCGATCCTAAGGCAGGCACACACCAGCGTCCTGAGTCATGTCTGGCATTTTGGTCGCCTTGGAATCGGAGCCTCTGGAACATAGCATGCAAAGAATATTCTTTGCCATGTAAATTTATGCAAAGCACTCTGTGGAAGTGTTTCCCAGGCTTCCTAGAAAATCTCTGCTGGCTTCCTCTGCTCTGTGTTCCCATCTCCTGCGAGGTCCGGGATGACCTCAGCGGGTATACCCAGTGTCCTGGGTACTTGGTCACTTGTGCCCTGGCCCCATGGCACTTCCTTTCACTGCTCCTTGGACCTCTAGCAGGATGCTGAGGAGAGGGAGTGGGCCCCTGAAGCAGGGACTTGCGCCCCACATCTGGAGGTGAAGGCAGCAAGAACGATTGCATTTCTTCCTGGAGGACATGTGGGAAAAAATTAACACCTCAACTATAGACTCCCTGTACTAACTGAAAGACTCAGTGAACACTTAATCAGCACCCTCTGTGTACATGGTCCTACAGATGAAATAAGGTATTTTCCTCCCCAAGGTGATGGATCCCAAATCAACAGGTGAGCTTGGGAAAATGAGGGAAAGTCATCAGCAGAGACACTCCATGGTGGCTTGCAAGGAAATTTCCACTCAGTCTTGCTGAGACTGGCAGTGAGGAAATGCTCCGGGCCAGGGTGGCCAAGCTCTGCCTCCTCTCTGCCCTTTCGCCGTCCTCTCTAGAGTTCCTGTTCCTAAGTGGGGTGGGGACAAGGGCTGAGTGATCGCCTTTGTGGATCTGGGTCCTGGCCACTTACTTGTATGTGTTTTGGGGCAAGTTAGTTGATTTTTCTCTACCTCAGTTTTCCCATCTGTAAATTGGGATGAAGAACAGCACTTATTTCACAGGGCTGTTTTGGGACCTGAGTGTGTTAATACATGTGCATGCTTTGCACACAAAAGACCCTCAGTGAATGCCAGTTTTTATTATCTTTGTGGTTATTGTTGTCACTATTTTTCTCCTAAGAGATGCAGCTCAAAGGGAGCATGCCTCAAAGAGAGCCTTCTCTGAAAATCCTCCTTGCTGTCCATGCCAGTCCTCCTTACCCAGCTGGCTTTTCCTTTCTTCTCTGTGTCCCAGTGCATACTTCCACTTCTGCTTCCCCCTTCGCCTGTTTTCCTGACCCTCCCCGCCCCCCTCTGCACCCCAAGCACAGGCCAGCTCAGCAGCAGAGTCCTCTAAGGGCCTGGTGCATGAAGGAATGAGCGAAAGAAGGAATTCGCCCCAGATGCACGTTCCTATTGCCCAGTCACCACACTGCGACCCTGGGCAACATCAGACAACATCCCTGGACCTCAGTTTTCTCACCCACGAGCTGGGGTGGAGCATGGCAGTAGCACCACACACTCCTTACAGGCCCCAGCCTACTAGAGTGCTCTGTGGACACCTCACTTCAATCCTGCCACAGTCCAAGGAAGGGGGAGGTTACTGTCCCTGTTTCCAGAGAGGAAATCTGATTCTTAGTAAGTAAGCCCACCTAGGCTATCAACAGGCAGGCCTGTGAGCCTCACCACTGCACCACACTGCCC